AAGCGTTTTATTTGATATGCAAAGGTTAAAATGCAAAAAAGGTTAATTTTTTACAGAAGTGAAAGTTAATTAGGTTCTTCTCGCAAATAATCATTACGATGTTCTATTTCAGCGGCCATTGTTTATTGTTGGATAATTAAATCATAGGTAATTGGTTAAAAGGTTCTAAAGTTAATTTTCATTAATAATTGTTAATTAATGAAGGTATTTTGGGGTAGGCCTAGTAATTTTTTTCAACATCTGCTGAAAATTTAAATATATAATAATTAATTATTAATTATTAAATAGTAAATATTTGATAAATAATAATTTTCAATAAATTGTATGTATATAAGAAATAGTAAATGCGTAAAAAAATTAATATACAATAAGCATACGATAGCGTGCGTACAGTGTCAGCTCGTCCAAATAGTGATGAACTTTTCTCTTGTGTTTAGCCTGGCAAAAGACGGTATCAGTGCTACGTCTGCTTGTGATGATGGGGAAGAAAGAATAAGAATAATGCTATAAAGAAATATAATAAAGAAATAAAGAAATAAGAAATAAAAGAAATAAAGAAATAAATAATAAAGAAAGAAGAATAATGCTAGTTGGACAGGACGAGCCATTAATTCTTCTGAGTGTAGGTATGGAAGAGACGCGGCAGCTGAACGCGTCCACGACGCGGGCGCCCAAGGACGACATGGCGGCAGGAGATGACAAGCAAAACCTAAATTGCTAATTACTGACGCCCGAGATGGAAGAAAACTGCGTACATGTGCACATACAAACTCAACGTACACATACATGCACACACAGGTCCCAGCAGGTGCACATGTATGCGCATACAAGCCTGGAGGGTTGGAAAAGCTGCCTCCAGACGCACGATCTAGTATACCACTCAGAAAAATATTCGAGATTTTGTCCGAAAAGCGATGAACTTTTTGCCTTGAGTAGGTCACCCTGACCCAGGTTACCCATGGTAAAATGGCGTACTGATCCCACGTGCAGGACATGTATAATTTAGACAACAGCGTATCCCATTTATCTTTTTGAGTGTAGACGTGTTATCGGACGCCACAAAAAGCTCATTGATCAGCGACCAATTGAATGATATTTAATCAACATATAATCAGATAATCAGCCAGTAATTACCATAGTTAATACGTTCAAGCAATTTAGCGATTAAATATGGCGGCCTGATAAATAGAGTATAATCAAATATCAATTTACATGCTTTCAAGACCGTGAAAAATTTGAATATTTGAATACTATAAAATAGCAGCTTAACTTAAATATAAATCAGGAAAATATTATACATCGAAATTGAAAATTGTTACAGATTATAAGCACTGCTTGTCCTGCATGATAAAAATGTACGTATATCTTGCATGATAACAATGTACGCATATTCTGCATGATAACAATGTACGTATATCTTGCATGATAACAATGTACGTATATCTTGCATGATAACAATGTACGTAGATCTTGCATGATAACAATGTACGCATATTCTGCATGATAATAATGTATGCATCTCCTGCATGATAACAATATTCCCATATCCTGCCTGGAAATACAATGTTTCCGCAAATAAATGTAACTTCAATATCGTATGGAAGAGAACTGTGACATTGTACCTTACAAAGATCCTTTAGAAAAATTAAGGGCTCAATGACTAAATAGTGACTCACTATCTTTCCCATAACCCCCGCACAAGTAAAAAGTGCATCGCTATTTGGACAAGGCTCACTCACTTCTCTGAGTGTACGGTCGGCCATATCCTGGACGATGAACACTCAATAAAATAGTGGGGGTAAAAGGCGGGCGGATGAGCGAAGCTTGTAACGCCCGAGCGTATGCGTGCTGAGCGTTATGCTGTGGACTTGATGTGTGCCGGTACAAGCGGTGGACTTGACGTGTCCCGGTACAAGCGGTGGACTTGACGTGTCTCGGGACAAGCGGTGNCCATGCCATGTCGTGGCATGCTGACACTCCATGCCATGTCGTGGCATGCTGACACTCCATGCCATGTCGTGGCATGCTGACACTCCATGCCATGTCATGGCATGTTGACACCCCATGCCATGCCGTGGCATGCTGACACGCAAGTATAATAAACTATAATAAATAATGAATTGGTAAATAAATAAAATCGATTGATGGCTTCATGAAATATTTTTTATAGAATAAGTCGTAAATATGTCTTGATGAATAATTAATTCTACACATTATGTTGCTAAATAAAATTCATCCCACCGACTTATTCATAGAATTTATTCAACCAAGAAATACATTTGACTGAAAATATCTGCATTCTTCACTTACAATTGAAAAAACGATTTAAATTATGGATTTTAAAAATCCTTAATGTGTGGCAGGAGGCCAGTTTGATTCATTTAATACATAAACATTATCAATACACTCATAAAAATAAGTGGAACATATTTTCCATATATTGACACTTTCTTGTCCAAAGCACGAGCAGATAACGGGCATAAAAACACTTATACGCCCCGGGCCAAACTGGGTCACGATGACCCACACAAGCGTGAACTGTGCATCGCTACTTGGATAAAGTCTCACTCAATTCTTTGAGTGTTCAAATGTGAGTGATCGAAAAATTCTTTAAATAGTGAATAAAAAAGTGTGAGAAAAAATAAAAGAATAGCGATAAAAATCTTTAAATAGTGAATGAATCATTCGTCCGAATAAATAATGACGACATTTTCGTCCTCATATGAACTACCGTCACACGAAGTGATCACCATTTACCGCTTTGAAATTACAGTGAACCTTTCTGCTGCCTATCATAATCAACGGGCAATGCAGCACTCACAAACATTAATGTGTCAACTTGTCGAAATAGCGACACACTTTCTGCACGTAGCACTAATATGACCTTAGGCTGGACAAAAGTGGACCAGGATAGCCCACCCAAGAGCGAAAGGTGCATCGCTATTTGGTCAATGTCTCCATGTTTTTTTGAGTGCTAATGGCCAATAGCACTTGTAAAACAAAGACGTCATAACCAAGAAATAGTTATTATACAAATGACCAAGAAATGTAGCTAAATTTTTAATGAAAACGTTTTCAATAACAATTCTATCATCAGTTCATAAATGGTCCTACAAAACGTTTCAATAGCACCTCCGTCATTAGTTCATAAATTAATACAAAATAATTAATAAATAATTATTATGTATAAATTCATGCTGAGTAGCATAAGGAGTAACAGCCCTAATTGTTTAAATTTGTTGTAACTAAACCCTACTAACCCTATCTGGGGGTCAAATAACCCTTGAGTCAGGATTAGTGGAGCTTTTTCGAAATTACAGTGAAAAAATTCTTATTTTTCAGTCTAGCTTTCCTTATCTTCGAGTCATGGAAAAAAGTGAATTCAAATTTTTATCTGTCATAATCGCAACACAGTGAGCTAATAACAATTGAAGAATTTTGCACGAAAATGTTTCTCATTGTACGTAATGTGTTATTATTAAAATCAATTTAATTAGAATGTAGCACTTATTGTGCGCAATAAAATCACTGTGAGTTATTAATCTATATCAAAAGAATTTCATAGAACAATAAACAATGTAATTCAATAGATAGTGAAATGTTCGAAGTAGTGTCCGTGGAGTTTATAGCTGATCTGCCTCGGTAAATTGCCGTTCCATGGTGGTGATTTCACAAAAAATTATGCTCTAGTTTTTTTTCCAGTTTAATATCCTGACACGATAAATATCCTGGATATGCGCTTCATAAGCGTGTTTAATATATGTGTTTGCGGTACCAAGCTCCAAACACGTGAACTTTCATAAATATACTAGAAATTTGGAGGCAAAGAAAACTATGGAAAAATTCAAAAACTTTTCTTGAATTTTTGAACTGGCGATAGAGCTGAGCACTAGAACGTTTTCTATACAGATATGGTGAATTTTTGGCGATTTTTTACCCTTTTAAATGTTTAGTTAATGTGAGATCTTAGCAAACGAGTGACATTACATAATACTCTCATGAACAGATAATAAACGAAACTATTTCTCTACCGCCAGAAAAAAATCATATTAAAATTCTGCAGATTCTTTAATTCGAACAAACGATATAATAAATTATCTAGTATTCGGTGAAAATTTTGCATTTATGAGATGAAATGAACTGAATTGGTGCAATCCGTGCAACGCTTCCGGCCCCTCGCGACGAAGCAAGTGAAGTGAACACCTCCTGATGTTGCTGTAATGCAAAAAATGTAACGCAAATCAAATATAAAAAACTGGTTGGTTTTTTTTCTGCAAACAATCCAGGGAATAAGTTGAGAGGTATAAACGCAATATCCTTCCACAACTGTGAGAGTAGTATTTTAAATCGAGTAATATGCATATGGCCATAAATATTATGAAGATTATGCAAAGCGTTAAGCCACTGAATAAATGCATTGGGGTTGCCTTTTTCGACCGCCAGTGAACAACACTTAACTTGGTCACTTTTTTGCACTAGTATCATTTATTGCATACTTTTATAAGCACTTCCGTTTGTACTATTTACATTTGAAGTATTTTCATTTATTGTCTTCTTCTATTAATATTTTAATTTGTGCTACTTTCATTAGTGTTTTCATTAGTCATAATTACATTAGTACTACATTCGTCTATTTAATTAAGAAACTATATATATATTGTAGTTTCTACTGAAAAAGCCTCAGTGTACAGGTCCGAGCGATAACTAATTTTATCGCTACTTATTTTATTATTTTATTTATTAGTATTTCAGCTAAATTTTAAATATATAGAAACATTACAATAACTTTTCATGTATTCGTGAGCTGCAATCTTTGCTTGTCTTTACAAAAGATTGAAATATCGCCCCGTTATTGAAGGCTAGGAATTGACTTGATAACCATTACATGCTATTTAATTATTTAATGTCTAATTCAATTATTTGATATGTTATTAACCAATTTAATATGTTATTTATTATATATTATCAATCGAACAATTTATTGGATTGTTGATGCCTACCTGCTGTAGTCTGCCAGCTCAGGCCCCCGATGAACATTTTCCTGCAAGAGATAAATATAAATTAGATACCTTCTCTGATGCAGCACTGAAGATAGAGTGTGAGTAAAGGGAGTAGGGAGAAGGTGTGGGGGTTAAAGTGTGAAGAGTGAGTGTGTGGATAAGAAGTGAGAAGAGTGTGGGGTTAGAGTGTGGAGAGTGGGTGCGAGGATAATAAGTGGTGAGAAGGTGTGGAGTTGAAGAGCGGTGGAGAGAAGGTGGAGTGTTAAGAGTGAGTGTGTGGATAAGAAGTGGGAAGAGTGTGGGGTTAGAGTGTGGAGAGTGGGTGCGAGGATAATAAGTGGTGAGAAGGTGTGGAGTTGATGAGTGGTGGAGAGAAGGTGGAGTGTGAAGAGTGGGTTTGAGGAAAAGGAGTGATGAGAAGGTATGGGGTTAGAGTGTAAAGAGTGGGTTTGAGGATAAGAAGTGGTAAGAAGGAGTGGGGTTAGAGTGTGACGAGTGAGTGTGTGGATATGAAGTGGTGAGAAGGAGTGGGGTTAGAGTGTGACGAGTGAGTGTGTGGATAAGAAGAAACACTCAGAGAAATGAGCGTGACTTTGTTTCAAGTAACGATATAGTTTTGGTTCTCGTGTGGGTCATCCGGACCCAGTGTCACCCGGAAGTAAAAGCATATCAATGCTTTGTCCACTGCCTTTTGTGCTGTGGGTAAGAAAGTGAATAAATATTTCGACAATATAATCAATTATTTTTTTGTGTGAGCACAGTTGGTTCATGGCGTATCATAGACGGCCAGCGATGACCGCCACCAACTACGTAGGAGAACTGAATTATATATTGCGAGTATAGTAATATATAATTGAGCAGTATTGATACTTGCTAAGATAAGACGATGTCTTCAATAGCGAATTAATCCTAGAGTATATTTCAAGAAATAAATGGGTAATAATGTCCAAAAAATGACCCACTTTATTGCCCACAGCACAAGCAGGGAGCGAGCGAGGCACTGATAAGCTCTTATGTCAAGCCAAACTGTGTCAGGATGACCCACATGAAGGCAAAAAGTGCATCTTTATATGGAAAAAGGCTTACTAATTCCCCTGAGTGAGACAGGAGGAAATCCTGGCTCATTAATCACGGGAAATGTTCGAGATGCTCGCAGTAAATGTCCAGTGCTGGTATCGTAAATTTCCTCTCAGATACCATTATAAATTGACAAAATTCATGCGTACATCAAAAATAATTGGTGCAAATTTCCATGTCAGAGGATCTGAAGCTCTGGAGAGAAGTGTTTTTTTTATTGGGTGATTTTTTGACAATTTCAAAACATGAGACTTAACGCACGGTTAACGAAGTATGTTCAGATTATCATTCGGCATTTCAATATTTTTTCAATAAAAATTGAATGGCAGGAAATTCAATAATAAAATTGAGTGCAATAATTCAGATAATATTCATTAAAGAATCTCAGTCGTGTAAAATGAGCCACAATTGAGGCAATATTCATTTAATTGACGTTGAAATCACATTCATTAAACGTGGTTTCCGCTTAAATCAACTCGTGCTCAACCTTGTTTTAACGCCATTCGCCTGAACAGAAAATCTTTTATTAACACGAGGCCAGTGCCACGATAATTAGAGGCTGTTTGTATTTAAAAGCTTTACTGGCCGCCAGTAGTGACCCCGAGTAGATGCACCTTACCTGTTGTTAATTTGCGGTACAAAGCTACAATTGGCGGCGAGACGAATTTATTTTGAGAGATGAGATTAAAAATATCTTGGCCCAGAGCTTAAGGATTACTGGGTCCTACAGTGGCCAATAGCACCCATACAAGAGGCCAATAACGCCTTAAATATATTGTGGCAGAACCTGGATTTATCGAATCTCAAGATGAGTAATTCTCTTCAGCGGCCGCCTAAAGCACTGCAAAAATCTAGAAGTATCAATGTAAGGAAAGAAGATCAGAAGTTAGCAAGGAGAGAGGAAATACGTGTGTTATTCTACGGGGAAACGCACGCCACCTGTCAATGTCGCTCAAAATAAATATTCGATAAAATGAAGAAATAATCTTTTTAACTATCGAAATTTTGTCCAATTTATACACATATAATTGCAAAGAAGCCTAATAGGCCTATATGACAACAGTATTCACAGTGGTAATGTTTCATCATTATATATTAAGATTGTGATCCAGAAATTGTGTAATTACTTCAGAGGTGCGCATATAACGCAGATACACTACAACAGAGTTATGGAAATTAATTGTGAAATGAGTTTAATGAATTAAATACATTCGATTAAGTTTTATTTAATCAATAGGCAGTCTTCGCTGTACAGTAATGCCACAACGACGACAGCGACAGCAACAATAACCGCGCTAGCAGCAGCGCTCGATATGAACGTGTTGTGAACATGTCGAGACAGCAGCGCTCGATGAACGTGTTGTGAACATGTCGAGACAGCAGCGCTCGATGAACGTGTTGTGAACATGTCGAGACAGGCTCGCGACACCCATGTTCACGTCGTGCTGAACTGGGTTACGATGACCCACAAACGCGCAATAAATGCATCTTTGTTTTGACTCATCTGTTTGACTTAGACGTGACAAATTGATGATTCAATTCAAGTTGTTTCAAACTCGCCGGTTGGAGCAGATTATTCGCGTGTGTTAGCAGCAATAAATTTTAATTGTGGCATAAACATTTCAGTTGAACGTACTCTGTTCCTACGAGTTTGAATTATTTTATTGACCTAATGCAGGTCATGTGTGTCATACTTGGTGAATAACCACGTTAGTGAACCTATATGACAAATAGATCATTGTTTAATAAAAATGGAGTTTGTTGCTTTTGGCTACTAGCTGTACGGGAATGTTGAAGTGCAGAACAGGCATGAAGAACAGGCATGAAGAACAGACATGAAGAACAGACATGAAGAACAGACATGAAGAACATGCATGAAGAACAGGCATGAAGAACATGCATGAAGAACAGATATGAAGAACATGTATGAAGGACAGGCATTAAGAACAGGCACGAAGAACAGGCATTAAGAACAGGCATGAAGAACAGGCATTAAGAACAGGCATGAAGAACATGCATGAAGAACAGATATGAAGAACATGTATGAAGGACAGGCATTAAGAACAGGCATGAAGAACAGGAATAAAGAACAGGCATAAAGAACAGGCATGAAGAACAGGCATTAAGAACAGGCATGAAGAACAGGCATGAAGAACAGATATGAAGCACCACACCACCACCACCAGGAGCAGCACCACACCACCACCAGGAGCAGCACCACACCACCACCAGGAGCAGCACCACACCACCACCCTCCTCATCCGCCGCTCGGCGGTGTGTGGTCATCACCTTTAAAGCTCCCGAATTCCCTCCGCCGCCGGTGTTGCCAAATTTGCGCGACTTTCCCCCTAACTTCTCGTTTGGATCATGACTCTGGACCAGCGAGACGCGTTTCTCTTACTATTTATCAATAATTAAATATCTATCTTATCTATTGCCTGACACAGCGAAATATAATTTACCTTCATATGTACATTAATTTCTTCATCGTGTGTATTAGTATTACTTTGAGAGATCACAAAAGATATTTTATCAAAGAAATCATCCGGATGGCGGCCGATTTTTTGCGATATTTTTTGCGATATTTTTGCGATATTTTTATTTATGCGAAAAAAATTCAACATAAGAAGTAAAATTAATTGAAAAATTGAAGATTTTTTAGCAAATACTGTTTTTGAATTTGAATGAAAAAATTACGAATCGATTAGCGAGACACAAATCAACTTGGAATTATCCAGGCTTTTAACTTGTTTATTTACATCAACTTTTTATAAACATGATTTTGAATACAATTTTCCCGCGGTAGAAATTGATGGTAGAAATTCCTGATAAATAATGGCGCGCTCTAGGCTCGATGAAAATTTTTCTTCTAAATTTGAATTTATTAAATTATGCGTCATTTCGCTCACACCGAATTTTGTAAAACACTTTATTTAACATTTTTTGCTAAAACTTTAATGTTAATGTGGAATTTTACGCCTAGATTTTGTCAAATGACAAGAAATTATTTCAGAAAACCGCGATATCTTTATTCCATTGGAAGCTCATTGATTTAGGACAAATTTAGTCACATAACCGGGCCACCTTACCAAGATATGCATAGGAAAATTAGGTAAAATAAAGCATTTCGTACCCAGGGTCGTTGGGAACTTCACTTGGTGATCCCACGGAGGGTTCCAGGGCGCTAGAAGCATCCATGATCATGTTGCACAAGATATAGCAGGACTCAGCTACAGACTAGACCACTAAGTTACAACTAGCTAAAAGAGCAACGCTATACTCAAGCACACACAACACCGCACTGAGCAAAACTTACACCTTACACAAAATCTTAGCACATGCCAGGGTCGGAGCAACCTTACCTTGCCAAATACTGCTAGATAACAATAAGCAACAAAACTTCATGTTTCCTAATGTTTAGTAATTGATAAAACAGCTGCTTTGTTGTGATAATTATATTTTCTTGAATTTTATATAACTGTTTTCTTTCGAGAAATTGTAAATTAATTATAAACAAATATTAAGTAATGTTCACAGCTGGCACCTCAAGTGCCTGTGGGCGCGGCTTATGAGGCCAGCCACGCAACCGAGGTCTCTGATTGGCCTGAGTTAATGACGTCACAGTGCCGCCCCCTCTGGGGACAAATTATCCAACTAGTCAAGCTAATGACTCTTCCAGATTTTGGAACAATTTTCTTATTGATGATTATCGATGCATTAACGGTGAAGCTACACACAGGATTGTAACAAGTGCAATAAAACCAAACGCTGAGTTTACGTGTCCACGAGACGTCAAAATTCTCAGTATAAATAATAATTTCTACTTTAAGAACTGAAATCGCGACTTGAAAGACACGTGGCGCCATCTAGTGGGTTCCAGGGCAGGTACACGGCCCCCTTATGAGGTACACCTTTTTTAGGTACTTTTTTGAGATACTCCTTTCCCAGAAGGTACTTAACCTTCTTTCCTGTGATAAACACGAATTGCGACAAGATAACAAATATGTCATCAATTAATTAGGAAGTAAATTAAATGAAATGGGCAAAAACTACATAACTAATATATACAAAATTTAAGTAAATTAAACTGCGTTAAAAATAACCGAACGCCTCACGTGTCACTCGCAAGGACATTTAATTTTAAACTTTTTACATTTCTCTTCAAACCACGTGAGTTGTGATCAAATTAGCATAAATATTCACACCTTGGGCCTGAAATAGCCGCTCGTCCTCGCCATTGGAACCCACTTATGAACCTTTTCCTGCGACCACTCACATAAACGGTGAGACTTTGTCCAAATATCTATACTCTCTCCACCCCTGCGAGGTGGGTCATTATGACCCAGTTTGGCCCGGCAATAGGGCGTATCAGTGCTACGTATACACTCAGTGATCGTGCTACAGGTAAGAAAGTGTGTCACTATTCGGACATTTTTTTTAGTGTGGAATCTTCGGCCTTGTCGTACACGTGCGTTATATTTATAAATAAAATATGCAGGCACGTGCGCATGCGTATTTATGATTACTTAAAATAACCTTTGACCTTGATATATAATATATATGAATATAAGATATATATATGAATACAATATAGAAATTTAAAAGTTTTGTTAATGAAACTATTTTTTGTGAGCATTTTTAGTGCTGCAGCGACTGAAAATTGATGAAAATTGTTGAAGAATATAAATTGGTGCTGAATCAGGACGATCCACAACACATGCGGACTGAAACTGCATCGCGATTGGAACAAAGTCTTTCTCGTTTATCTGGGTATATAGCCATAGCTGCGGAGTGCTATACTCACAATATATAACCTGGTATATCAATAGAAGGAATATAGCTAAAATGTGGGGTGCTATACTCGCAATATATAACCTGGTATATCAATAGAAGGAATATAGCTATAAGCTGTGGGGTGCTATACCCGCAATATAAGTGCTATACTCGCAATATATAACCTGGTATATCAATAGAAGGAATATAGCTAAGCTTTAGAGTGCTATACTCGCAATATTTAACCTGGTATATAAATATAGAAGGAATTTGAAGATGAAGACACGCATGCTTCATCACAGCTTCACGAGAAGCAGATGGTGAAGCGCACGTCAGTCTTGACAGATGTCAAGGCTTGGCATGTCAAGAGAGCAGTGTAATACGAGCGCATGTATGACCACACATACACTCGTGTATGAGGATGAATATACTCGTGTATGGCTGTACATTTACTCGTGTATGTCTCTTTATATATAAGTCGGATGTGTGACTGTGACAACGGGGCAAAAATGCATTCATATACATATACACTAGTTTATACATTCAGTGTACTGTACATTCACTTGTATATGACACTGAAAAAATGAATGGCTATATACACTCATTTGTGTATGCCTCTGGATAGTAAATGTGCTACATTCATTTGTGTATATTTTTCTGAATAACGGATGAATGGTTGTGTAAATGAAAGTGTATTGTCATGGGGAAAAAAAGAAATATAAATGGCTGTTGGAATGAGCTATAATAACGTGCGTATATATACATGATATATAGTTACTATGCAGGCATGTGAATATAGAATTATCCTGATTATCATGATCAACTTCAAATGATCTTGCGTTCAGAGGCGGTTTATTGTTCCCATATTTATAGAGAGGCCGAGTACAACAATCCTACACTCTATTATTATGAATATAATTATTAAATAATATTGTATAAAGAATACCATAACATGACCATGACATTATTTATACCATTAATCAATTAATTATTTATTAACTTTCTTAGCGAGATATTTCTTATCGATAAAAGCTTATAGTGGATTCTGAATACTTGTGAGATAAAAATCTAGCTGTGTCCACATTATTACTGGCTATAATTAATATTCTGAATTAAATATTTTGGATTGTGTTTTTAATTAATGGTATTTAAAAGATAATCAGGTTACTTTTGCGTATAAAAAATCAGGTCCGACGCTTCTCAGACGCCGCGGTTGCCAACAAATGGCGAGTGCATTTCAGGCTAACTGAATTAATGAGGAACTTCATAAAGCTCTTAAACAATTGGGCAATTGTCTCGTCTTAGGATACGACTTTGTCTTCCTAAATAGGATACTTACGGTTCTGTTGTTATTCATTCTTGATTTTATTTCTATTATAATTAAGTAATATATAGGTAGATTAATTTGGCAGAAGGAAGCTGGTTTTTTTATGTATGTTTATTGTTTAATTTTATTAGGGTTTTTTCTAGTTTTCACTCATATCATATGAGGAAAATCAAATATTTCATCGCTAATAGAAAATTAATGATAGCGATTAATAATTCAAATGAATGATTTTAACTCACTTATTAGTAGTTGCAATTCATTTTTACACAAGATAATATGCATGACTCCTTAATTATACATGGCGCTTACGACGACACATGAGTGATGTGTTTACCGAATTTTTTTTAAAAAAAGGTTAATACACTCAAAAAATACGTGGTTAATACTGTTCACACAGCGACACACTTTTTGCACGTTGCACCAATACTCCTTTTTTACCTCAACAAACTGCGACAGGATGACGAATTAATTAATTAAGGAATTAATTAAGGAGTTCATCGCTACGTGGACAAAGTCCCACACTTTCTCTGAGTGTACATGCATAACAATGCGCCTTTATATAACGTGTTGAGAAACGATGGAATCCCTATAGAATCAACCGGAATCCTAGAATCCACCAGAGGTGGGCAGTAGCGCGCTATACATGTAGCGGCCGCTACATTTTCAGTAGCGATAGCGGCGCTACATTTAAGGCAATGTAGCGGTAGCGGCGCTACATTTAAGCAATTGTAGCGGTAGAGGTAGCGCCCGCTACATATTTAAGTAGCGATACGAGGTTTTGCCGCTGGCAGCGCTACCGCTACATTTATAGATAAAGTCTTTAGATTTCACTTAATAGTATTAAATATTATTTAAAAACCAACCGTAATCCTAGAATCCACCGCAATCCTAGAGTCCACCGCAATCCTAGAATCCACCGCAATCCTGGAATCCACCGCAATCCTGGAATCCACCGCAATCCTGGAATCCACCGCAATCCTAGAATACACCAGAATCCTAGAGTCCACCGGAATCCTAGAATCCACCGCAATCTATAGAATCCACCGTAATCCTACGATCCACCGGAATCCTATGCATAAAAACTTGCTTTTTTTCAAGCTGGGAGTCTTAATTGAGACAATTTGAACGTCTCCAAGTCCTTGATTCTTTAGTAAAGAACGGGGATCATTTTTAGCGCATTTTCTCATTGATGGAAAAAATGCACTATTGTGCTCGCCATGTCCGTCTGTCTCTCCGTCTGTCCGTCCATCTGTCCGTCTGTCCGTGACCTCAAGTTTTCGTCGACGAGAAAATGCGCTCTCTGTCACTCACTGCAGTGAGTACTGAGTTATAATTTTTCTATTTATTTCTGCTACAAATAAAGGGCTTCAAAGTTTGAATAAAAATTAGTTAAATCAATATATATAAATTTAAATATCGTTATGAAAAAAACAGTGGGGAATTATATACGTTAACTGAGACCATTTCCTTTACCTGCGTAATGCGAGCGAAAAAATGACCTGCCGCAAGCAGGCGTGCGCTTGCACTCAAAAAAATGAATGGGTCATATTGGGCAAATAGTGACACATTTTCTTAGCCACAACACATGCAAAAAGCGGCCGTATCCCTGAAACACCCTTTAGTCAGGCTAAACTAGGTCAGAATGACCCACACATGGGCAAGACGTGCCTCGCTATCTCGACAAAGCCTCACTCATTTCTCTGAGTGCGTGCCCAGCACAAATGAAAAGCGCGGTCAAAAGATACGAGGCGCAAGAGGCGCTCCTGTGCGCCTAATTCGCAATAAAAGCAGGCACTCATCAGCAGTCCATCAGTGCCGAGCAGGGCTTCGTGGGAGAATGTACACGGCCGGTCGTTTGCTTGCCACAATTGGCGTCCATCTCTTCGCCTGCAAGTTGGGCTCCAAGCTTGGCCAAAGCGCCCTTAAATATGATGCGCAGCACAACACCATCTTGAAGAGGTGTTCAACAGATGCACAACACCATTTCCTTAAAGATGTGTTCAACAGATGCACAACACCATCTTCTTGAAGAGGTTTTCAACGGATGCGCAACATCATCTTCTTGAAAGGTGCTCAACAGATGCACAACACCATCTTCTTGACGAGTTGTTCAACACAACACATGCACGGCACAATTTTCTTGAAGAGGTATTCAACAGATGCACAATACCATCTTCTTGAAAAGTTATTCAACAGATGCACGGCACAATACAATCTTCTTGACAGGTGCTCAACTTAGAGTTACTATAACTGATTAATTCTTGTAGAGAGAAACAAGAACATTTTCTGAGCGCCGCGGACTGAAATGGTAGGATTGGTTACGGTCAATAATTACCTTAATGACTATTTATATAATAATTTAATTTATTTTGAAGTCACGTAGCCAATGATGCGCTGCGTACACCTATACTTATCGAAGGCTGAATATACGTACAATAATAACTATTTAATAATTATTTTTTTTTTCTTAATTAACGCTCACATTTCATTCACTTAGTCACGGGATTTCTATCTTCACACACGCTTTTTTTATTAAGTTAATTAATCGCAGCGTATCTCTCCAGGAATTCGTTCCTGTATTTCATCTGGTCACAGAGCTTCTATAACTTCTGGAAAAACGTGTAAATAAGTTCAACGATTATGCCCTGCATGGGCTTCTAACTTCAAGAAAGCTTTAAATAAAGTTACTTCTTTGCCAGGTAGGATTACCCTTTCAAATAACGATGTAACTGCGTGCTGCATTTCCCCGTTATATGCGTCACTCGGAGAAATATTTGAGACTATGTCCAAATAACGATGCACTTTTGCTCGTGTGTGGGTCATCCTGAACCAGTTTGGCCCGACAAAAGGGCGTACCAGTGCTATGTAAGCTCTCTGCTTGTACTGTGGGTGGTGAGAAAGTGTGCCACTATTTGTACAATAAGCCCTTTTTTTCTGAGTGGCGTTGGGAGTATAGGTGCGCAGGATTCTTCGTCTAGGATGCAAGTGGAGGAACAAGTCAAGAATCCAGCGAACTGGCCGACATGTTCGGCGATAAGGAGACGGCGTTGCTGGAAACGAGCGACGCTACCAGAACTTCCAGCACAAGCACTGCGTAAGTCAGGACAGGGAATGTCGTGAAGGGAGATACACGCATAAAAATACATGGATCACATTGCCTAGATAGTGACACTCTGTCTTACTCGTGCGTGGCACTGATACGCAGTATCAGGGTTAGACAATGTATCATTTTTTAACGGGTAGAACTGCATTAACGTGTTTTTCGGGCTAATTGGGTCAGAATGGCCCACACATTAGCAATATATGCATCTTTATTTGGACAAAGTCTCAGTCATTTCTCTGTGTGTAGAGTACTGCAGGACTGTGTGTAATTATTCATTTACATTTATGAACACGTGCGATGAGCATATCATGACGCTTATAAATGATGATCATAAATTCAACCGAACGTTATTGTGCGAACCAAATTTTATGATGAGCTTGCTATACAATTACTGGAGCTACCCAAGTTTGAGCCGTGGCACGATAAATTTAGGACGCTATTAGTTGACCTAGTGTACGTTTCTTCAAATTCTTAGTACAAGTGGCTTGAATGCTCGTAATTCAATGAAGGCACACTATATACACACTCAATCTCAAAACACAAATTCAAACCTCGATCAACCGGAGATGCCCGAAACACGATCAGAAACTTTTTTTAATTCAGTCGCCCAGTTCCATTCAGTTTCTTTGGAATAAGGAAGGTGTAAAATGCGCAATAAACTTGTTCGTAAATTGAACTGATGCCGAGATTTCCTCCAGTAAATTATGTGCAGAGCAATGCAAGCACAGCAGCACCGCATGCAGAGCGCCTGCTGATGACAGCGCTCTTGGCTGATGCATATTCATAAAATTGATAGGCCGTGTTTGTCCAAATAGTGTCACCCTTTCATCGCATAGCACTGATACGATTTTTTCCAGACCGAACTAGGTCAGGATGACCCACAATTGGGAAAAAATGCATCGTCATTTGGACAGTTTCATATATCAATCCTTTCCTCTGCATGTTTGACATTATCTAGAGTGGAATTTAAGATATGTAGTACAATATAAACGAGAGCACCTACGCGTATTGAATCCAAAAATGTGATACTAGATTATCCTTGTATATTTAACTGATGTTTTCGAACTGATCAAGTTACCGGACTGCTTTAATCTCGTATATATGGAGCAACATATTCGTAGAATTCCAGCCTAATTTACTATCGGCTTATCGGTGTTCACTTTACCCTCTTATGTTTATGTACCGTTTGAATCTAGACGATATTGATTAAATTCACCTATGTTGTTAAACACAGAAAAATGAATGGGCTATGTAGTCCAGATAACGACACACATTCCGCACGTAGCACTGATACCTCATTTTTCTGGCCAAAATGGGTTAGGATAACCCACGCAGGAGCAAAAAGTGCATCGCTTATAGTTCAAGTAACTTGGGTAGGTTACCATGTTCTTTGAGAAATGAGATAGAGCAAAGAGTGCTGGTCTTTTAAACATTATCTTATCGTTTTGAGATAGATGGGTTGTGTTATGAGAATCATATTTTAGAAGTCAATTTTCACCCTACTTAATCATTTACGTAACGATGTTTTCGATTCTCACGTGAACTGATGAATTATAACTAACTTGTATTCTAATACATATTCTCTATTGATACATTCTGCTTCTGCAGTCCAATAAAAAGCTTTTCACACGTGAATTACTGTATGTAAACGAGTATATCTAACCTTAATCATAGACCACCGCTCACTCGTCGTCCAACTAAGGCATGTCATCGTTCCACTTTAGTATGAATTGAACTGAATTGCTAGTCACATGCATCTATTCACATATAGTTATTTTGCTCAATAGTCGTGAAAGTTGAAGAAATACATGTTATAAAAAGTTATATGATAATAATCAAGAAAAATTACATATACATAAATTTTAACGAAGTAATGAATCCTTTTTTATATATATTTTTTATATATACATTTTTGCCGCTAAAAAGTGCTTTATTGGCCTCGTAAATTTCATACTATGTTATTTAAAACTCGTCAGGCGTCTCTATGAGCGACAATTTTGTCATCGACAGATTTGACCGGAGAAAATTTCTTGCTCTAATTTTATCCAAATGTAAGAATAAAAAATTTAACATTTGCGCCTGGACGGCCTGGTACAATATCCACTATTACGCATTGCGAAATTGCTATAATGTTTTAATAGAATTTGATGAATCAAAAATATTCTCCATCCGATGCCGTTTTTTAAAATCCGCTCACGTGTGAGTGGCCAGAGAGGGACAGTCACTCAGCCTCTCAGTCTCAGGGACTTGTCAGTAGTCCTTGTTAATGTTAAACAGTTACACTAAATGTTACCTAGTTGTTAGTCCCTAACTCTTCGAACTGAAATAACTAACATGTCACCTTTCAAAGATTGGTACTACGTCACATCTAAACTCATACTTTTAGTTCTACAATATTGAGTATCAATATTACAATTTACTATTTAGCTTATGAAGAATGAATAATTGTTGTTTAGCTTATGAAGAATGAATAATTGTTAGGCCTACTGAGTACTGCCTAATGCCTATTTCATTATTTGTTTATTACTAATCTCAGTATTTGTTAGTAATCTCACTAATCTGTAATTCTGAACTGGAAAAATGTTTGAAAATAATGAACCTGTGGTCCGTGGATGAGATGAATTTGCCATGCTCTTTTATATGACAATTTAGCCCATTGGATATTCATATTCCTTGGGTGCCGGCTGTGCCCGGTGGTGGACTGGGCCCTTACCCCTTAGACCTTAGTTACCCAGTTTTTTTATGTATACTAAATCAATAGAATTCAGAGAAAAATATAATTTTACAGCAATTTTTAAGAATCTTCCTTGAAAAGCATATATTTTTCAAAAATTGCATGTGGAACAATTTGTTTGGCATGGGTCCATCCATGGGATGGTACCTATGGAATTAATGGAAATTCCTGTCAATATTTCAGCTTGGCTATCAGGCTATGAATTACAGAATTCAGAAAATTTATGAATAAGTATTATTATTAAGTAGGTTCTTTACAGTTGAATAATATACTGTGTCTCAGCTATCTGAACATGCTTTCTGACTGGTGACTGCATGATAATAGAATTTATACAGGTTTGATTGAAGACCAGAGTCCAGACACCAAAGCGTACTTTTATTAACAATTTTCTTTTTGTTTTTTTTTTCGATGAGCCGAACAAAATTTCTTGCAGGTGCTTGAAGATCAACACGTTGCGGGTGCTTGGAGATCAACATAGATCAACTTGGACAAAATTGCATGTTGCCTTTTCTGGACGTCCTGGTGCAAGACTATAATAATTCGTTCGTCACAAAAGTTTATCGATAACCTACAGACGTCGGAAAGGTCCTGAACCAAGAAAGCGAATGTCCCCAGCGCTACAAAATCAGCACTAAACCCGCCTTCATACATTGAGCGTTCAAGACCTGTACCTCTGCTCGTGACTTAAAAACTGAACTCCGAACCTGCAAACAAATTCTTGTCAACAACGGCTATGCAAACAAAATGATTGACAAAGAAATTTCAAATATCAGAGCATGTCAAAACCTAACAGATGATTCCTCATCAAGAGGTTGCGTCACCAGAATTTACTATCAAAACCAAATGAACGATGGTCATAGGACTGACGAACGAGTCCTCAATTCAATTGTGCAAAATAACATCAGCTGCACAACAGTAACTGACCGAATACGACTTATGATTTACTACAGAAACAAAAAGATCAAGAATTTAATCATGAAAAACAATCCATGTAAAAAGTCCGGACCACTACAAGAAACCAATGTCATTTACAAATTTCCCTGCATGAAAGAAGGTTGTAGACTTCTCCAAAATGTAAATTACATCGGTTTGACAAGCACGACATTGAGCCGTAGAATCACATGCCATCTGCAAGCTGGAGGACCAAAGAACCAATTGCGGGAGGCCCACAACGAGACTATCGCCCGTGCCACGTTGGAGGCCTGCACCAGCATCGTCATGCGGTGCCCCGACACTACGAGACTGTAATTCGAAACATCGCATTCCAGTAAAATGTCATTTTGTAATCTGCTTTTTGATCTCCAAGCACCTGCAAGAAATTTCGTTCGGCTCATCGAAAAAAACAATAAGAAAATTGTTAATAAAAAGTACGCTCTGGTCTTCAATCAAACCTGTATAAATGAAGAACTTCTGCCTAACTACACTGATAATTGAATTGTATATATAAATGATAAATCAATGTACAATTTTACATTTTGATTTTTGAATACGGTAGCAAATGATCAGGGCCTAAAGCCACCTGATCACTCATGCTTGCTTTTGTGTAGCAGGTATGCTATTTCTGCTAGGAAACCCAATTTCAAAGATAAATTGGTTGTAAACTAAAATTCTTTTCTGATTTTTCCAGCATTAGCTTTGATTTTAATCTATTGGGAACACAAATTGAAAACTGGAAAATCATGAAACGGTAAGTATTTCAAATCAGGGGCTCATGGTAGTACTTTCAAAATTAAGTTAGCCCTAATGTTTTCTTAAAGTTGTTAATCGATATTTTTAATGACAAACTTTGGAAATGCTGAGCTATAAACATGTACTATAGTTGATATTTTGTTCAAGAAAACTTTTATATTCTGTGTGATACCTATAACATAATTTTTGTTTCACTTTGCAGAGGCCGGATTGAGCTGGGCGATGTCACCCCTCACAACATAAAGCAGTTGAAGCTCCTCAATCAAGTGGTCTTTCCTGTCAGCTATAATGACAAATTCTATAAAGATGTCCTAGAAGCTGGGGAGCTGGCCAAGCTTGGTATGTTTGTGCCTTTCATATAGGCTTTCATTTGATTTTTAGTGATGAATTTCATTGCTTTTGGAAATCAGAAGTTAGCTTATTTATTTCTGATAGGTACCTTTCTTAAGTTTTTTTTAATTATAAATTTGCTAAGATATATAGCTGTGTTTTGGTTTTTCATTTCAGAATCTCATTGGACTTGTATTACAATAAGCTGTTTGCTTGATTACTGATTAGTTTTCTTGCTCCCTGTGTACATCAGTTTTACGTTTTGATTTTATCTGAAATTTCCCTGCAGAATGCAGAATTGATGCAAATAATCTAGCCTGAGGGTTTTTTTTCATTTTTTTTAATTGTTCACACTGACTAATAACAACATTTACTTTGACTGTAAAAGTTACCCTTTTACCTACTAGACCTTGTTGTTCAATACATATTTATGCTCCTCCATAGCAACATTCTTTATTGAGTTTTAGAGATAAACCAGTAAGCTTCATGGATATCATCATTAACATTCATATATCAAATGAAATCTCAAAGTACATCAGTAAATTAGAAATGACCTGGTTTTAAAAACCTCTTGTTTGCCTGCATGACATTGTTCTTACAGCTTACTATAATGACGTGGTGGTGGGAGGCGTATGCTGCCGTATTGATGTGAGTGAGGGGCAGCGACGACTCTACATCATGACGCTGGGATGTCTTGCGCCCTACAGACGACTTGGCATCGGCACCCTCATGCTCCAACATGTCCTCAACTATGTTGAAAAAGATGCCAACATTCACTGTATATTTTTGTAAGTATCTGTGACAAGCATGTGTATATGAGTGAGGATATGTGACAAGCATGTGTATATGAGTGAGGATATGTGACAAGCATGTATATATCTATGAGGATATGTGACAAGCATGTATATATCTGTGAGGATATGTGACAAGCATGTAGGTATATATCTGTGAGGATATGTGACAAGCATGTAGGTATATATCTGTGAGGATATGGGACAAGCATGTATATATCTGTTTTGATCTGTGACTAGCATGTGTCTGAGGATCTGTGTCAAGCATGTGTTTGTGTGGACCTATGACTAGCATGTAGCTGTGAGGATCTGTGACAAGCATGCAGCTGTGAGGATCTGTGACAAGCATGCAGCTGTGAGGATCTGTGACAAGCATGTATCTGTGAGAATCTGTGACAAGCATGTATCTGTGAGAATCTGTGACAAGCATGTATCTGATATCTGTGAGGATCTGTGACAAGCATGTATCTGTGAGGATCTGTGGCAACTGACCAGCATGTATCCGCGAGGTTGTGTGACAAGCATGAAGCTGTGAGGTTCTGTGACAGGCATGTATGCTTATGTTGGTATTTTATTTATTACTCTTTATTCATGGTTCAGCTACGTAAAATATTCACGTAACAATAAACAAAATTAGCAGTATATGGATATAATGGTACTTCACATCGATTTGGTTTTGTTCCGAAGCACATCTGAGCTACCAATCACTAATTATATTTTATTATGTAAATATTGCAGACACGTGCAAGTAAGCAATGACGGAGCTCTCGACTTCTACAGGAATTTCGGCTTTGAAGTTGTTGAAACTAAAGAACATTACTACAAGAGGATCGAACCTGCCGATGCTCATGTATTACAAAAAACCATTAGTAAATCTTGAAATTAATTGTTCTGTTTTTTTCCTGAAATCGGTATATATGTTACTAATGTTTGCACCACGTTTAAATACTTTTGTAGATTCAGCCTTTCATATTTTTGCAGTTTTTTTCTTTGCAGGCTGCATACTTTTTCAAGTGTTACAAATTTTTTTCAATTATTTGGCTTCCACGTAATTACGCGAAAATTGATCAAACGGTGGTCAAAAACCAAGCGAACCCTGTTTCTGCATTACAGGAGAACCGACTGAAGGAATATCCGATGCGTGATGAGTGCTCAAAATGTTGCACGTTTACAATCCAATTCTATTGAATTGACTTAGAGACTTGGAGCGTGATCCAAAATCAGTTGAAAGACTAATTATAACCAAGTAAAATTTTGTTTGAATTAACGGTATTGTAATTAAATGAAATGATTATTTTGTCGAATTATCTGAAAGTAATCACGCGACACTGGCTCAAATCAAAAATAACTAGCGAGAAAACTCAATGCTACGTTAAAGCGGACAGGGTAGCTCCAGCGGTTAAATCGTGAATAGCCATTCGAGTGGCAAGGGTGAACAAGTACGCATGTGTGCGATATAGCGCCGGCAAATATGCAGATATCCATAAGTTTTACTTCAAAATTGAACATTGATTTACAAAATTTTATAAATTGCGAAGCGGTGTGCCTGTTTGAGATAGTTGTGTAGCCAAAAGTCTATATTTGTTGAAACCGCTTTCGTGTCGTTTTAAATTTTCAGCGTGCGAACTGAGCAAGAGCTGAAGAAGCAAGATGGCCGCCTTGTGGAAGTATGAGCTATGTTGACCTGTGCGTAGCAAGTTAGCCGTTAGCGATTAGCCTTAAGTCTTGCGTTTACTAAAGCATCTTGCGGCTACTTTCCTTTGAAGTTCATTTCATCGTAAATTCTTTGTTGTATATTAAACTATAATATTTTTTGCCTCTATGGACAATGTCCAATTTAGAATATGAAGATACTATTAAAAGTTAAGAACCAACTCAACCAAGCGTGTGAGGCAGCTAGACTCACTCTAGAGACTAGAGCGCTAGATGGTAGACCCAGAAACTTTTGAGACTTCCAGACCCAGACTCCTAATTTGGAATATTGTGCATACCTAATTTTCCTAAAATTGCAGGTTAAAATGATAATTTCAGGGTTGATTAGGTAGGACCAGAAAATTGAAAATGCAGATGATAATAAGATGTTAAGCATGGGTGAGAATGTGCAATACGGTACTTTATGTTTATTCACTAAAGAAATTGGCAGGGGTGGTGATTTTTTTAATTAAAATAATCAATGATATTTGTTATTTTTTCATGATTTATTTGATTTTTCTTATTTTTTCCGCTCTTTTGTCTTTTTGAAAGGTTATTTATTAGGTATGTTGCAATTAGCCTACTAACAATAACAGTATAAGGATCATAATGGATGGCTAAAATGGGCAATTATTGTCATCAGTAATGGCCAACAGGCCAAGGTGGTATTTACCACTTTTGGATTTTTGGGAAAACAATTATTGATAAGTTAATTCATTAGCTTTGTAAAATTTATATGGAGCAAGGTAATGAGCTAAATATTGACCATTTAACTGGCTTCAATATACAAAAACACTTCAGGAATGCAGATCTTCTAAACATTGAAGAGTCACACAACAGATACTGAGCCACACTCAGGATGATGTATGTTTTCGGTTAATTTTCACCCGCATTTTGACTTTTTTTAAGCCATTGCTGTGCACAGTTGGTGCAACTTCTGGCCATCCCCGCTTGTGCGCGCAAGAGTCGGCGCAGCGCACGACAGCGTTGGCGCAGCACATGCAAGCGTCGGCACAGCGCGCACATACATTTTGTCAAGGGTCAAGTCAACAAGTCACTCAAGTGACAAAAATCGTATAATACTCAATATGTGTTTAATTATCTATCAATAATCTATGATTTTCCTTGATTTGGAAATTTTGTGAAAGTAAAAATCTAGAAATTTATTTTCAAAGAAATTTTCTACAAATTTCCTATACGAACTGACAAACATCGTTTGTTTACCTTCCGTAGACCGTGCGGAAGTGAGGCAATATTCTGTCCGGACATGAGGGCCGGAGGGTGTGAGGCAAGTGGTGAATAACCAAGTCCTCAGAAATTGGGCATATGAAGACTGAAGTAAACAAATATTAGTGTTAAATGACAGATTTAGCTTGTTCTATATATACTATTAGTGCGCTGATAGGGTTATTAAAGATTCTATGGTTAATGAAAGGAGTCAAATCTTCCTGACCGTGGATACTGAGATAGGTAGCTGATAGCACAGTGCACAGCACTATCAATAGATCTACTAATTTTTTGTACTATAAATCTACCAGACTCTACACTCTAAACACACCGACTAGTAGTGACTGACTGCACTGTTCCCATTTAAGTCAGACCAATAAACCAATATTAAACATAAACTGAACAATAACCAAACAAACCTCAAATGAAACCAGACTTTAGAGAAAAGCTAACACTGTTTGGAATAAACATGTGCATAATTCAAACATTTTATTTCCATTCACTGCATTTAATTATTTTATATATAGTCTTATAATTGTAATTGTCTTGTTTCTAGTTTTAAATTCACATATTTAAAGATTGAAATTAAATATTTTAATTTGAATACTCGTATTAGGGTGGAAAATCTTTCTAATTGCCTAAAAGGTCATTACAATCTCAATCTTTCAATATATAGGATAGGATGGGACAGAACCAAGTGAGCAGTTTTGAGACAAAATAAAAGAGTAATGGAGGTACATAAGAAAGTTTATTTTCTGAGAGGTTAGCATTGCATACATTTAGAATACTTATGTTTTAAAAACAATTTCTGGAAGATGGGGGCCCGTTAGCTGCAACACACTGTTGGAGTCGTTCTTAGAGGAGATGTGTATAAGAGACAGGTGCTCACACAGCTCGAATGTCACTCAATGTTTTGAAATGCATGTTCCCAGACTCTGAGGGGTGATTTACAGTGGCCTGTGAGGTCACCTGATTTGAGCATTTGCGATTTCTTTCTTTGGGGACATCTAAAAGAGAAGTTCAAAAGTTGCCCTCACACACTACCACAGGTAAGGGGAGATTATTGCAGAAGAGGTTATGGCCGTACCTCGCCATATGTGTGAACGTGCTGTAGAAAACTTCCAAGAACAATTCCCAACAGTGTGATGCAACTAACAAACCCCATCTTCCTGATATTGTTTTTAAAACATAAGTATTTTAAATGGTATGTTATGCTAATTTTGAGGAAAAAAGACTTTCTGCTTCATGTACCTCCATTACTCTTTTATTTTGTCTCAAAACTGTTCAATCATTTCTGCCCCACCCTGTATAGGCTAGCTAGCTCATTTAAATTGTAATTTGTAATCAATATATAACAAATAGTCAAATAGTTGAAGACTACTTATAGCCTTATAAGAATTAGCTAAGCTGCTAGCTACGTACAATGTATTGCACACTTGATGCCTCTGTACCAAAAACATTCAATTTATTGGAACCTAATACACACTAAAGGCAACAAGTTTATATACCAATTTGTCATTCATATTACATTTATATTAAACCATGAATAACAATACCTCAACATAAATTAAAGACAGCCACTCAATATATTTAAATATATATGAAAAAATCATGATTTTTGTATAAAAAAAGTCAAGTGATTTAATCACATGATTTAATCATTTTGATTTAATTATTGCCAATCCTGGTATAACTTGCCAACAAAGGCAAAATAAGAAAAATTGTCACAAGCTAAACCTCACCATTGAGAGGTTAGGTTTCTATATGCAAAGTTTCATTCGAATCTGTTTTGTATTTTAGAAGAAATCTCTGTTTCACTGCAAATTTAAGCACTATTTTGCTGTTTAAATCACGAATGAGGGAAAAGATAAAAATACTTGCCAACGAAGGCCAAACGTAAAAAATTTTAATGAGCTAAACATCTCCGTTTAGTATTCAGAAATTCATATTCAAAATTTCATTCAGATCTGTTCAGTACACTGGAAGAAATGGCCGGTACACTGCAAATTTTGGCACGTTTCGTCATATAAGTCACAAAGGAAGGCGATATTAAAAAAATTATCATGAGCTTGACAGCAATGTTAGGCCATAATGAATATGTGTACCAAGTTTCATCGAGATATGTTCAGTACTTTGGAAGATATTCCAGGTACACTGACGGCTGGGAGACTGGCCATAAATTTGTCCAAAACGTTGTGATGAGCCTCTTGAAGCTATTCATATTTTATTAATGTTTGTTGTTAGTCTATTTCAGTGGTTCCCAAACTTTTTCAGGCGGCCGCCCCCTTTGGCTCCCTAGTGAATTTCTATCGCCCCCCACAGACACATATAAAAACATACGCCTCTTTCTTGAAATTTAGTACGCTGCAATTTTAGNAGTAGCTGCCGAAAAATTATTTTCTACTTTTGAGTCCACATGAAAAATGTGGCCTTTAAAAATTTTTTTTATACATTTTATTTTCTACTTTTTAGTTTTTTAAGTATTTTATTTTCTCCTTTTTAGTCAGTTGCTACACATGAAAAACGTTGTTGCGAGCCAATTTACTTGACTCAACGTACGTATTGCTGTCTCTTATACACATCTGAGAACTGATATTTTAAAAAAAAGTGCGGTGCCTGTATTTTTGTTTTCAATGGGTTTGCACCGCACAAACCCATTTCTCCAGCCGGGAGGATGTCGGGAATGTAACGTATTCCTGACATTGACATTTGGGTTTGTACTATTTGCCAAAGTCAGTCCTTCGTTAGAAGGAGCTAATCTCAAGCCATGTGGAGTGTTGCCTTCTACTATTCAGTTTTGTAATTAATTTCCAACCGAATTGTTAACTATGAATAAGAAATAAATATTCATAACGTTGCTGACTCGTAGAAACTGAGTGGTAACACGTTAGAAATCTAGTCAATGTGATGCAGATATTTGTTCGTGTGTGATAGTGTTGCCGCGCATTCATCTTCAAACAACTTTAGGAGCACGGCGCAGGCTGGCTCACGGTGCACTTTTTTACTGGCATATTACGGCGCACGGCGCGAATTGATGCAATGATAATAAAAATTCCCGCGCACCTGGCACATCTTCCTGACCGTGGATACTGAGATAGGTAGCTGATAGCACAGTGCACAGCACTATCAATAGATCTACTAATTTTATGTACTATAAATCTACCAGACTCTACACTCTAAACACACCGACTAGTAGTGACTGAGTGACTGACTGCACTGTTCCCATTTAAGTCAGACCAATAAACCAATATTAAACATAAACTGAACAATAACCAAACAAACCTCAAACAACTTGAAACCAGACTTTAGAGAAAAGCTAACACTGTTTGGAATAAACATGTGCATAATTCAAACATTTTATTTCCATTCACTGCATTTAATTATTTTATATATAGTTTTATAATTGTAATTGTTTTGTTTTTTGTTTTAAATTCATATATTTAAAGATTGAAATTAAATATTTTAATTTGAATACTCGTATTAGGGTGGAAAATCTTTCTAATTGCCTAAAAGGTCATTACAATCTCAATCTTTCAATATATAGGATAGGATGGGACAGAACCAAGTGAGCAGTTTTGAGACAAAATAAAAGAGTAATGGAGGTACATAAGAAAGTTTATTTTCTGAGAGGTTAGCATTGCATACATTTAGAATACTTATGTTTTAAAAACAATTTCTGGAAGATGGGGGCCCGTTAGCTGCAACACACTGTTGGAGTCGTTCTTAGAGGAGGGAGTAACCGTGGCAGTGAATTCCATCCACATGAAAAACGTGGTCTTTGAAAATTTTTTTTTATACATTTTATTTGTAATCAATATATAACAAATAGTTAAAGACTACTTATAGCCTTTTAAGAATTAGCCAAGCTGCTAGCTATGTACAATGTATTGCAACACTTGATGCCTCTGTGCCAAAAAAATTCAATTTATTAGAACCTAATATACATCAAGGGCAACAAGTTTATATACCAATTTGTCATTCATAGTACATTTATACTAAGCCATGAATAACAATACCTAAAAATGAATTACAGACTGCCACTCAATACATACATCAATACAATAAATATATAAAAAATCAGAAAAATAAAAAAGAATCATGATTTTTTATAAAGAAATCAAGTGATTTAATCACATGATTTAATCAATGTCAACCCTGGAAATTGGGAAAATGAAAAATGCCATAGGCTTTTGTTGAATATGTCAGATTCAACCTATAGGGTAAATGCGGTATATTCCGACATCGTGGGTAATTTTGACATTTCTCGACTTTTTTCCTTTTTATTAAGCTTTTTCTTAGTTCCACGCATGTGTTGTTGATTGAAATACCGTCAACCAGGGCTACTTGGGGCGGGCGGGGTAACTCAGGACAGTCGACCGACACGGCGTTAAACTGTTTTAGTAGCCATACTAATTGGAATATTGCAAATCTAACTATAGTGGCGTAAGCGTCGACATTTTTCCTATCTATGTAGTATAAAAGAAGTTAAAAAATACTACATTTACTAGCTTTGAAAAAAATGGTGAAAAATAATATTTTGAAAAGTTACTTCTGCTAAGGTCTGTAGTAAAAAAAAAAAAGATTTGCCGTATTAAATAATTTTGCTTAGAAAAAAGTTGCAGACAAGTGTCAGCATGAAAACTTTATTTCCGGAATTTACATACCTCAATCCCAAAAAAATGGTGGCCATTTCCGCATGGCGGGGCTACTCGGGACACCCCCCGAAAACAAAGAATATTTATTACATTTACCTTGCTCAGCGAAAAAAATTCACTTTTAGAAAAATAAGTGCATCATCGGTCATCACAAAATTGTGCATAGAATGTCATATATAGGATTGTGCACCAGGCATCGTAGAATGAAAAGTAATTGACCTAAACTATGATTTATTTCTCCAAAACATATGATGGTTGTCACTAAAAACATTCCTTTCTGTTTCAGGTATGTTTTTAACAATCTTTTTTTATAGTAAATTCACTTAACCCAATTAAAATGGTATGAAATTATAAGCCATCCTGTAAGCTTACAGATACAGAAAAAATGCTATAAGGCTGCTGATATGAAGCTTGCAGTGGACAAGGTAGTTGAAATGCTCAATGGCCTGTTCATGGACACGGTAATATTGCATCAATAATACGGTAATTAATGTATATGGTAATATCATATCATTAAAGGAAAAACAAGTAAAAATCACAGAAAATGTCATCTATTTTACCTCTACATCATCTACAATGAAAGAGGAGGACTTCAGAGTACTGTTAGTAATGGACGAGTACACTCTGCATGCTTCAAATGTTTTAAAATTAAGTTTTATTCAAAGTGTCCCGAGTAGCCCCGTTTGACGGGGCTACTCAGGACACTCTTTTTTTTTTGCTTCTGACACCTTACAAATAGCATATGAGAATTTTTTGGAGAAGCCATGCGATAGCCCTTTCAAAGAGCTTTTAAATGAGCCCAAACTTGTTTATGAAATGTTTCATGGTAAAAAGTTATGAATGAAAAACTTTTGAAATTGTCCCGAGTAGCCCAGTTGACAGTACTACATAGATAGGAAAAATGTTGACGTTTATGCCACTATATTTAGTTTTGCAATATTCCAATTAGTTTTGCTACTGAAACAGTTTTATGCCGTGTCAGAGGACTGTCCCGAGTTACCCCGCCCATCCCGAGTAGCCCCGGTTGACTATTGACCATCATTTCTAGAATTCCATCCAGGAAAATTCCTGAAAAAAATGGTGAAAAATGCTATTTTGAAAAGTTACTTCTGCTAAGGTCTGTAGCAAAAAAAAAATATTTGCTGTATTAAAAAATTTTACTTACATAAAAGTTGCACCCAGGTGTCGGCTTGAAAACGTAATTGACAGATTTTGCCTATCTCATTCCAAAAAAATGGCGGCCATTTCCGCACGGCGGGACTACTCAGGACACCTCCCAGGAGCTATTCGGGATACCCCTGAAAGCACATTTACAGTAGAACCTCAGTTAGCAAAGGCTCCAGTTAAGAAAAAAATTGATTAAAAACAAAGATTATTGATTACATTTACCTCGCTGAGCCAAAAAAAGTTCACTTATCATCACACAAATTACAAGCTGTCCTGTAAGCTTACAGATACAGAAAAAATGCTATAATGCTGCTGATATAAAGCTTGCAGTGAACAAGGTTGTTGTAAATGCTAAATGGCATTTTCATGGATAGGGTAATATCACATCAATAATAGGGTACCATCAACTGGGGGATTGGGCCCTGTTCATAAGGATGGCCAAAGTGGGGTCATAAACGGTCATGAATGGTGGCCAAAGTCACTCAGGCGTTTATGACCTGGTTTACAACCCTGGCGTTTATGACGCTGCGTTTATGACCCCAGCATGAATCAAAAACATGGCCAAAGTCACCCCAGTTGATGGTAATTAATGTTTATGATAATATATCAATGAAGGAAAAACTAGTAAAAATCACAGAAAATGTCATTTATTCTACCTCTACATGGTCTACAATGAAAGAGGAGGACTTCAGAGTACTGTTAGTAATTGATGAGTATGCTCTGCATGCTTCAAATATTTTAAAATTAAGTTTTATTCCCAGTGTCCTGAGTAGCCCTGTTTGACGGGGCTACTTGGGACAACACTCTTTTTTTTTTTTGCTTCTGGCACCTTACGAATAGCATATGAAATTTTTTTGAAGATGCCATTTGATAGCCCTCGCAAAGAGCTATAAAATGAGCCTAAACTTGTTTATGAAATGTTTCATCGTAAGAAGTTATTAAAAAAAAACTCTCAAAACTGTCCCGAGTAGCCCCGGTTGACGGTACTGTTCTAGGAACGTTGAGACTTGAGATGATATTGAACTCTTCTTATAGGTGTATATTCCAAAAGCAGGATCCCCTGTGGAATGTATGTCACATTGAATATTCTATCTGAAGCTTATTGAGAAGATAGTTTTTTTTTTAACTCAAACAAAGCCCCTCCTCAGCTAGAGTTGTAGCAATGCCATGAACTGCTTTATCGAAAGCCTCTGCAAACTTGCCATTACTGTTACGTTTCATATTCCACCATGCGCATTGCGCTAACATCACTTGTTGGCTTCTAAAAACACACTGACATTTGCAGATGCAAAATTACTGTTGAACATAATTCCCTTGTATATAAACTTCCAGTCAGCAAAACTAGGAGTGTGGAAACTTGCAGCAAATACTCACAGCTATTAACAGCCCCCATGTATAAGCCCTTCAATTTTCCAGTTAAGCTCCTAGTGCTAGTGGCCTGTTAGATAACTGTCTTTGATTTTTTTTATCACATTTATAAGGTATGTTTTAATTTTTGTACATTCTTTTACAGACATATGGTGAACAATCAAAATGACACAATATCTACCTCCAAATTTATTGGCACTTTTTGCTGCCCGTGACCCTATTCCATATCTCCCCCCTGTTGACAAACTAACATGGGAAAAGAAAACTGATGGATATTCTGGTGTTGCTAGCCTCATCCATAGATTTGAGGTATGTTTTACGTGTGCAGCATGCTTCTCTTGAAAATTTTGAATGGCACAGAATATTGGAAATGAAACTGCATTATGTTAATTGCTATAGGAAGATATTCTGGATAACAAAACTTAATGATGGGTTTATCCTAATTTGTTGGGCTGTATTGTAAAATTTTAGGCTCAATAAAATGATGATTTGAAAATATGAAAATTTTTAGTCCCAATTTGTCAAGCCTTGTTGTAAAATATTGTTTTTATTACAGGATCCTGCAAACACACCACCACCCAAGCATGTTGAGACCCGTGACGAGAGAATGGAGCGCAAACGCCGCGAGAAAGCTGAACAAATCCAGTACAAGCTTGAGCAGGAAATTGCTATGTGGGATCCTCACAACATTCCTGACGCCACCTCTGATCCTTATAAAACCTTATTTGTTGCCAGGATAAACTATGATACTTCCGAGTCAAAGCTCCGCCGAGAATTTGAGATCTATGGTCCAATTAAGAAAGTGAGCATTTTTCTTCATTGTTTATTGTTATGTTTATTGTTATCAATGTACTCCTAAACTAATTTCTGATGACTTATCAAGCAAAACCCACTAATATATAACAAACTGTAAATCATGCATTATGTGTACATATATATGATTAAGCTACTTTTGGTAGTATGGTCCCTTTTTTAATTTATAACTTAAGTTTCAGTCAAGGTTACTGGACAAAGTGGCTATTGTGTATTGGTACATAGAAATTTCGACGTCTTTTCTGTAAAATTGTCCTGAATGTCCATTATTGAATGGTAATACTAAACTACTTAGATGTAGTCTTTGAGAGTAGATTACTTGACAATTAAGGTTGAAAATATTATGATTTTTAATTCCTGATTATTGGTAAAAGATGGTAACATTATTTACTTAACTATATTTCAGTCAATTGTATTGATGGTTCTTGGAAGACCTCTACTGATGTTTGTTTAATTTACAGATCCGCATGATTGTCAATACAACAAACAACAAACCACGAGGCTATGCGTTCATTGAGTATGAACACGAGCGAGACATGCACTGTGAGTAGACCCCTGATCTCAGCCGTGTTCATAATGTGTCTCAATTATGATGACAAATATCTTTGTGAAGTACAAATACAAATATCTTTGTGAATAGGTATTCCACAGTCCCTGTCAGCTACATGCTTTGTCTTGACTTTCAGGAGCTGTCATTTATGTTGCATAGGTTAATCTTTATTCATGCAGGAGCTGAGAGGCCTCATGTTGCAGAAATCAATGCCATTCACCCTGCATATTACGTTTTATTATCGCAAATTGTTCATAGAACATCATTATCATTTGACTTAATGACCTATGATGGCTTAAATAAAGCTTTTGGCTTGAAGTCCTGTCTCTCGGACATGTTTCACATTTAATTTTAATAATTAACTTCAATACGTGACTCTGTGTTTTAAATGAACGCATTCCTTATCCTTAGGCAATCTTGGTACTTGTTTGGGACATAGGACTGCAGATATTCTCGAGGAACTTAACTCTCCAAATTTTATCAAGTCCTCTTTGTTCATGGATGTTGCTAACAATTTTGCTGTGGATAAACTATAGTTTATACTAGTTAAGGATCGACTGTGTTACCGTAAAATTAAAAAATAGTATCTCTGGTTTCTGCTGGCTGTTGTTATGTAAATGTTTGAGATTATTTCTTCTCATCAATCGAAAATTGTTTGTGTTTCCTGAAGATCTTTGAGCAAGTCAATTATCTTTCATTGCATCAACTAAGCCTCATGATCTCTTGCTGTCTTTTATAAAATTAATAAATTACATTTCTGCTCTCTAATTATTTGCTTAAATTACTTCAAATAGCCTGTCAATACTCCTTATATAATAATAATTTATTGCTGTGAATTTCACCGTATATGGATGATATGTACCTTTATTTTATACTGTTACCAATTTATTAACTATGTAAGATAACTATTGATGTTGCTTAAGTTTTTCCTTTTACAGAGCTGATGCTGATTTAACTCTTAACTATGGAAAATTATTTTGTGCCTCCTACAGCTGGTAATTTGAGCTTTTTTATATAGGGTCTCCAAGCTTGAGCACATCTCTGGTAGCTTCCATTATAATTCGTCATTTTAAGTGTTGATTCACTTTCAGGCTGAATGGACATTTGGTAGATTTTTTTTATGACTGAGCTGGCGATTAATGGTCATTCATTGAATTCTCACCTAAACTTAAGCAAGAAATATCTAAATTCATGATGACTAACAGTGATTATTTTGTTCGTCCTACACAGTCGGTGTGGTGCGCTGGCTTGTAGTGTGTAATGATGACCAGCGCTAGGTTTGTATATCCGTGGTAAGCAAGGTTCAGCTGCCACTCCTCTGCCTCATATTGCCTTTCTTTCATCACTCACTGCAGCTGCACCTGCCCTTACAATCTTAATTCCTTTTCCCAGTTTATATGGAAATTTACTAAATATCTCGTGAAAATGATGATGTTTCAATCAAACTAATTCATATTAATGTTTCAAATTTCTGAACTAATTCACTAGAAATTTCAAAATTGTGATGCATCAGTTTCATCTTAGGAGGTACCTACTATGAATAGATTGTATTTGAAGTGATATAGATCACTGCACAAACCTAGAAGGCTATTTCACTTTGATACCTGTTCTGTTCCTGATGTATTGGATTCAAATGATGGTTGTATGGCTGTGATGTTGGAGGTGTGGTGTGAGAATGTTGAAGGGCATTATGAGGTTGGGGAGTGCAGCTCCAAAACTCAACCACACTCAACAACGCTTGCATTCTTTCAACTCTTCCACACTAAACACCTCACCTCGTGAGATTTTAAAACACATTTCCTATTCATGACGGACCAGCTCTTAGGATTTAGGGAAGTATTTTGGGGAAAAATTCAAGTCCTAACTCAGTATCGAAAGTGCCTTTTGCATTTGTTCTAAGGTTGTTTTTGTAAGACAATTTTCATGAGCTTAAAGTTGTTTTTGCAAGCCTTTTTTTTCTGTCATATGAATAATCTCGCAGACAGGGGTTACTCTGCTTTAGGATTTGAATGACGGAAATGAACGTTGTACTCGTGATTTGAAAAAATGTATAAGCCATCATTTAACATAATTTGTTACGAAGAGTTTCTTTCACCGTCTTAACTTTTATTAGAGAGTTTGATTCAAATTACCTAAGGCTCAGCTTGATGTTTAGGTTATGTTGAAAAAAAAATCGTAAAATCTTAGTTGATCCAAAAGTTGTCTAGTCAATGCATAAAAAGCACCTGAGTTATGATGGATATGATGCTTGAGACAATATTTATATGAACTGAGTATATATGTAAAATGAAGGGTAAGTTTGGTAAGTACACCACTGCCCTGCTTGGATTTGCTGGCTGCTTCCTCAGTGCATCTCATCATCTCTTGCCAAACTCACGACCCCCTAGCAGGTAGGGCGTGTAAGTTCTGGCTGTTATAGTTGATTATAGGCAGCATCAATAACAACATTTTTAATGTATCTCATCTCAGTTCAAATTTCTTTGACCGTAACGTGATCGATATTACCTGCTGAGATTTTTTAAATCTAACTGGAAGGCCAGTTCCACTTAAGAGCTGTGGAGACTATCTTTATAACGGTTAGACAAAGTTAGTTATAACACCCTTTAAATAAGTCCCAATGATAAATTTCTATCTTTGATATCATGCCCTGGAGGAGAACTTTGTCCAAATGTGCGTTACATCTTAAAGTGCTATGAAGTTGTCCATTTTTTGGTTCAGAGGTGGCAGCAGGTAAATAATTTCCTCTTCTACAGATTCTCTTTTGCTAAGTTTTTAACTAATTGTGACATTACGCCTGCAGTACGGTATGCTGTGGAGTGGTCATTTGAAACATATTGATGAAATATTCCTTGTATTTCTTTGTGTGTGAAATCATTCACAGGATAATTCAAATTACAAGGAAAGGCTCTCCATGCTAAAAATGGCCGAAAATTTCAAGTACATGCAGTAAAAAGTGTATGGAGAGCTTTTTCTTAGGTTTTTATTCAAGATCAATGGGTAATAAAGTTATGTATACAGGTAACATTGTCTTCGAGGAAAGGTGCTTTGCTAGTCATCAGGCACGCAGGAGACGCCGCATCCAACTGGAGTTAAGCAGAAGTTCAGTTGGTATTAAAATGTTGAACTCACTCTGAGGTGGTCATTGCTGGATAGTTTGGAGAGCATTATTCCTCCTTCATATGTTTCGTTTGATATGCAGCTGTAAACGTCTGTTGTTGTTAGTTATTCAGATGGCTTTAGCCTACAGCTCTACTTTTGGCACATAAATTTATTGAAAGGTGTAAAAAGTATGTATGAACAGTCCAGCAATGACCAGCTCAGTGATGTGCATGATGATAGTGATATGTTTCTCATGTGTCGCTCTTATCCTCCGTGCAGCGGCTTACAAGAACGCCGACGGCCGCAAGATAGACAACAGGAGAGTGCTCGTTGACGTCGAGCGAGCCCGCACTGTCAAGGGGTGGCTCTCGCGTCGACTTGGTACGTCTCGGCTTGACTTCTTTTTAAGAATTTAAAATACCTTAGTATCATAACCTGAGAGATTACTTTGCTATGTTATTTTGGGACGATAAAGAAATATTTCCTTCATAATATTTCCTGGCCCTGCTGTAAGTTCTTGGTTAGTGTGCGTCTAAATCATCTCATTTACGTTTATATCTGTTCATGTAGTTAGAAACTCGTTGTCTTGTGGCATGAGTTGTGTTGAATATTTTATTAATTGCACCTCGTGTCTGGCAGGGGGAGGCTTGGGTGGCACACGCAGAGGCGGCCCTGATGTCAACATCAAGCATTCAGGCCGAGAGGACGACCGTAAGAGAGGAAATGATGACATGGAGTGAGTATAAACAATGGTTTTATTGTCATTATTTACTAAGTGAGATGCATCAATTTTTGCTTCAGCTCAATTGAATGGTTTCATAAGTTATTGTCTTTAACTTTGATAGCATTGCACTCATTTGCAGCTGGGTTTTGTACGAGTTCATCTATTTCTAATTTGTTTGTCTTGACTGTTACCAGCTCATTTGTGTTACCTCACGTCCTTTTCCACGAGCACCGTGGCACAAGATAATTTATTGAACATGCTCAAGTGTTACGTTATCATGAGGATTGCTGCAGAAATGTAACAGATTAAATGTGTCATTGTTGATTTTACTGTTTAACTATCATAGTGTGTGTGATTGTCGTGCCACAATATCGCTACTGAACATGCTTCCATGTTACATTGATAGGTGGGTTACTGTTAAAATTGAATAGATTAAATGTGTTATAGTTGATGTTACTGAACGATTATGTTTGTATTGTTTTGTGCAGTCGTAGCGAGCCTGCGCGTAGCCGTGATCGTAGTCGCACTCACGAGCGACGCCGTAGCCGCAGTCCCCGCAGCCGTGATCGTGACCGCGACAGAGAGCGCGACCGCAAAAAGCGATCACGCAGCAGAGACCGCAAGCGCAGACGGTCAAGGGAGCGCCCTGCTGAGGTGGGTTCAGGGCAAATGGCATGTTGGTGGCAGCTGGATGCCAAGTGTGGAAGCTTTGTGTGTTGTGTGAGCAAGATATGGCTGCTGCAAGTGTTGTGTGAGCGAGGTACGACAACTGCAAGTGTCGTATTATGCAGGTGTTGTATGCGCGAGGTATGGCAGCTGCAAGTGTTGTATGAGCGAGGTATGGCAGCTGCTAGTGTTGTATGAGCGAGGTATGGCAGCTGCTAGTGTAGTATGAGAGAGGTATGGCAGCTGCAAGTGTCATATGAGCGAGGTATGGCAGCTGCTACGCAGCAAATGTCGTATAAATAAGTCAAGTAAGTAATTCGTTTCAAATAAGTACAGGAAGGCATCGTGTGAGTAGTGTGAAGCGTTAAATTATTGCAGTCTTTCCTGTTTGGCTCCTATATTCTGAAATCTGAATTTTCATTGAAATTTATAATTTGAGCGAATTCTCATCATTTATGTTGTAGAAATGAGTCGTACAATATATAATTAATCAAAGAACTTCCTGAAGAACTGTAGTGCATTCAATCCTGTCTGTTATCAGTTCCTTTGGTACACTGCTCATCAACTATTAGTTTAACTTTACCCCAAAAATATAACGTCATGACTGACATTTTTTATATGACATCATTATATCGTTTCACCTGGTTGCCTATTTATTCAGGTTACGGTGGATGAAGAGGAAACACGCGCTGCTCGTCGTCACCGCAGTCGCTCCCGCGACCGTGAGAGGAAGCATCGTCGCTCCCGCAGCCGAGAGCGCAAGCACCGCAGGGACAGGTTAGTTCTGCTGCTGTGTCACGTGTCCATAATTTTAAATATTTATATTCGTTACAAGCGATTTGAACATATACATAATTTACTACAACAACCAAACTAGCAAGTTACGGGCATTCACAGCTAAACAATTGACCATTACTTCACAAGAAAGTGGGTTCCGAACCTGGGAGTAACTTCCCGTATTTTTTGTATGTACACAATGGAGAGTTAACAGTTTAATTTATGCTAATCTGTCAATTTTGTCAGATTTGTGGAAGACCTAATGTATTTGTTATGGAATTTGAATTAGATGAAGAATCGGAATTTTCAAGAAACCTAAAATATTCAGCATTTAGTCGGATCTAATTTCATTTAATTGAAACTCCGTTGCAAGTTCTCTATCATTTGTTTCTGTTTCATAATATATTATGTTGTTATTGATGCAACTGTTGTCCCTGGTAGGTACTTTTTCCTGGTTAATCATACTTTTTAATCGACCGTTAATTGATGAAATTGATGTCATTGGTGCTGAGCTTCAGTCTTGTACGTGCAGGGATCGCGAGCGTGCACCGAAGCTTACTGGTATCGAGGGTGGAGCGCAGACCGGCGACTTGCCACCCAAGATCAAACAGGAGCCTGACGACGGTTAGTTATTTACCACTCATGAATTATGTTTATTTAAAACTAATGCAATTTTTATAGTTAACCTCTTCAAAACAAGTCTAAATGAGGGGCTCTACTCTCAATACACTGATTAATCATTAATAATTATAGACAACTTGTCCACACAAAGACATCATTGGAATGATTCAAGTTTTTTGGATGTTATGTAAAGGAAAAGGAAATTTTCGGCTCTTCACAACGTCATTTTAGTTTGAATTTTTACACATTTCAAATTACTAGAGCAATTTTTGATGAAAATTCAGAAAAAAATCAGTGTAGGCAATTTTTGAACTTTACTTGTTGTATTTTGCTTTCGCTTCCGTTTTCAATATTGTGAATAATCTTTTCTTCATATTCATGATATTATATTCTTAATTATTCTATTGTATGATATTTTCATTATTATGCATATAATAGATGATTATTTATATGATATTTTTACTTATATGATGATCGTAACATCATACCTCTCGCTCAGACTACCCCGACTACAGCAACAGCAACCCTGTCTACAACAACATTCCTCTCAAGGACGAGGAAGGCAGACCTAAGAATGGCACCAAATTCGAAGACGATGAGGGAAACAATGAGATTGACTATTGATCGCCAGTATCCCCTCTATAATATTTCTATCCAGTTGCACAATATTGAAGTTCACAGCGCCTGCCATCTTGCTTCAAGTATTGGTTATCCGATTGCTCTCAATTTCGAATGCCCGATGAGTTTTGTGAAGAAAAAAAAAAACTTTAATCTAATTTTCATTCATTATAAGTAATTTATATGCTCGTGTGTTAATGTTTAATCGACTAGATTTTCATATTTACAAATCTGGTAATTGGCCACCGTTTTTTTTTTTTAATCCTGGTGATTGCATAATTGCTTTAAAACTCGTTGGAGATGTAGCTTGTATAAATTGTGTTCATTTAGCTTCTAATATACTTATCGTTGTGGCATTATAACGGTGTCAAAATAAAGCAGCCGCGTCTTGAATTGGGAGTAAAAATAAATAGGTATGTTCAATTTATATTTCTCGTGTACATAGGATTCAATTCAAGGCTTTAGTGGGTTCTAGGAGCAAATTGGTGTCACCACAGCAACATCACGACAGCAGTTATTATAGAAGAATTTCATCGCTTCTCCCCGTACATATTAGTGTTAGTCTCGAAGCCTAAATTGAGTCATCTTTTTTTCAAAATTTGTTCGAATAATGTATGCAAAAATGAACAAATCTTCGCTAAAAGTGTCAAACCCTACCTAATTCTAAACTTATTTTCAGGTTCTTAATTTTTCGATTTGTCGTTGTCGTCTAATTCTAAACTTATTTTCAGGTTCTTAATTTTTTTATTTGTCGTCGTCTTAATTTTGCGATTTGTCAAAAAAAAAATTAATTATTTCTTGTCCTGGAGTTTGCCGATGCTCGAGGCTCTTGGATTTATCCTGAAATTTTTTTAGCGACAACACCGACAATTTTTCTGAGTTCTGCTTTGAATGTAATTTTTCTCTTTGTGATTGAGTCTAGTAGGTTTATTGTGCATATGGATTTGATTCTCATGAATTGAATTATGAGTTCTTAGCGTTGCTATTACTCGCCAAAATTAGCACCGCGATTAGTATGTTGCTTTCAAATCAGCATTGATGGGGTTTAGTGAATGTGTTAATTATTAGCGCCATAATTTATAAAGACCTTTCTAACTGGGACCGGATGGCTTGCTATATTTTGTGACGAGTGATCTTAGCATTACACTCGAGTAAATTAAAATTCAACACCCATTTATCTTTCATGCCCGCTGGCCGAGGCCGAGTAGTAGAGTGCATTTTCCTCAATCCTAATAAAGTGGACGAAAGAATAATTTGTTTCATTAAATCTTTGGCTATTTAGTTTCGCCGCACGATTTTATGTTGACAGGATTCAGTTCAGTTAACTGCCTCTCGAAGTTGTATGAGTTATCTGAATAGCAGTTATTTGAACCAAACTTTATTATTCTCGCAAGAAGCTAGTATGAAAATATTACATTATGAATATGTTGAATATTTTTTAGATATATTTTGCATTAAATCTATCGCATATTAATTCAGGCATTGCGTCAATGCGTCATTTGGTTTCGTTGAGACGTAGATATTAAAAAATTATTTTAAGTTATCTCCATTACGAAGTTAAACATTAATGTGTGCTCCAGTCATGTTAACACTTTTCAATGCCTCTGTTGATCACAGAATTTGAAAAATACGTGAAAGTCTGCTGATGTTGTCTTTTTTACGGAGTACCGTAAGGCTGCCGTTACGCTTCGTGATACTCGGACTAACTCTCTCACCTCAGTCTGCCTCTGTCAGTTGACATGACCGTACTGGTTTCAAAGGGCCATGCTGGTTACCATATTCAGATGATACGCTCTGAGTTGACACTTCTAAAATTTTAATTAGTTTTTAGGTTTGATTATCCAAGAGTATACAGCTTGTATCGCTTCAGAATGGATGAAACCCTGAAAAATGTCTTACTGTATCAAAGAAAAGTCGAAAAATACGCTCAAAATAGAGATACGGATAAGGTAAGTATTTTTTAATTGTGTTTTCTTTTGCTTCTATAGAATATAGGTAGATTACTTATCTTGTAGAGCTTTACTGCCTTTACATGAATTTGGATTTTGCCCTGAACACCTTGTTTGTCATTTGTTCAGAACTCCAAAATTTTTCAGAACTTCCTATTGAATGAATTTGCTGAAGTTAGTAGGTAGGCCTACTACCAATTAGGATTTTGGCTGTTCGAATTCTCAAAGCTCAATAGCGAATAGGTAGGCCTAGGACCTAGGTTATTAGGTACTAGGTGTATTTTTTGGATTTCTATTTATATTTGGTTATTTCTTGATTTCCTTCTGATTATATTACTCTTTAATCTTGAGTTTTGCTGGAATATTAAGTGTGATTAATTATTATTATGGGTGGTAAAATTCTAATTTAAATAGCTAGCTACCAACAAGGTAAATAAAATACTTAAAAAAAACTTTTTGAAAAACACGTTTTTCGTGTGAACTAAAAAGTAGAAAATAAATTATGGTTCGTCCCAAAAAAACGTGTGTCAGGCAGATTTATGATTAAAGCGAAAAGCACACAACACTTAAATTTTGGAAATTTGATGGTGAACGTACAGCCCGACCCACGTTTTTTTGGGGCGAACCATAATTTATTTTCTACTTTTTAGTTCACACGAAAAACGTGTTTTTTAAAAAAGGCCTCCTTGCCGATTCTGACCAGAAACTGGCGCTCAGAGCTGGGATCGAACCCGCGCCTCTCTGCGCCAATCTTGGTAAGTTGGTACCTACTCTGAACTTTAACCACTGGGCCACCCTGATTTTACTCTGAAAAGATATAAATAAGCCAACTGCCATCATCATGCAGGATTGAAATTTTCCTACTTGTTTCTGAAATCTTGTGGCTCCAAGCCTCCAACAGGACAAATTTTCAATGTATTTGGAATCTTGCAGCCTGATCCTGCACTTTTGTTAACAATTAGATAGGAGTTAATTCATCTGGCGGAAATCGCGCATTGCACTATTCCGGAAATGGCAGGAAAGCTGTTGCTCAATGATCGACATACATGCCCACACTTTACAATCAATGATCAACCAAGACACCTGCGTTTTACGATCAATGATTGACCAAGACACCCGCGCTTTAAGATCAATGATCGACACGCATGCACGCATTGTACGATCAATGTGGCCGACCCGCCGACGCTCATGCTTCGCAAACGATGCGGTATGAATGACATGGATGCACGCATTTAACGATCGATGTGGCCAGTGCCCAATGATTGATTCCAATGCTCACGCTTCGCAAACGATGCAGCATGATTGACATAGATAAATAATGATTGATGTGGCCTACGCCAATGACCAATTCTGATGCTCTGCGAACGATGCAGCATGATCGACTTGGATGCATGCATTTTACAATCCATGTGACCGATGCCCAATTATCGATACAGATGCTCACTCTTCGCAAACGATGCGGCGTAATGACCTGGATGCACGCATTTTACAATAGAAGTGACCGATGCCCAATGATTGATTCCAACACTCATGATTCATGAACAATGCGGCATGATTGACCTGGATGCACGCATTTTATGATTGATGTTGCCAATGCCCAATGATAGATTCTGATGCTCGCTCTTTGCAAACAATGCGGCATGATTGACATGGATGCACGCATTTTACGATCGATTTGGCCAACCCTTGCTTTGTGAACAATGCAGCATGACTGACATGGATGCATGAAATTTATGATCTATGTGGCCAATGCCCACGAGCCACGATCGATTCCGATGTTCACAATTCGCAAACGATGGGGCATGATTGACATGGATGCATGCATTTTACGATTGATGTGGCCGACGCTCCCGCTTCGCAAACAATGCGGCATGATTGACATGGATGCACGCATTTTACGATCTATGTGGCCGATGCCATGATCGATTCCAATGTTCACAATTTGCAAACAATAGGGCATGATTGACATGGAAGCACGCATTTTTTTATCAATGAGGCCAATGCTTTCACTTTGCAAATGATGCGGCATGCTTGACATGGATGCATGCATTTTACGATTGATGTGACCGATGCTTTTGCTTTGCAAATGATGCGGCTTGATTGACATGGATGCACACATTTTACAATCGATATGGCAGGTGCCCAATGATTGATTCTGACTCGCGCTCCACGATCAATGCGGCCAATGTCTGATGATCAACACCTATACACCTACTTTAAAACCAATGTAGCCAATGCCCGATGATCGACGCGGATGCATGCATTTTATGATGTGGCCGATGCCCAATGATCGATTATGATGCTCGGGCTGCACGATCAATGCGGTCTACGCTGGATGATCAACACAGGCAAGCGCTTAATGATCGATTTGGCCACTGCCCAATACATAACACTACATAACATGACATTACATTATAATGCAAAACATTACAACAAATATTATTATAACACAATACTTCATAACATTACACCACATTATAGCACAGCATATCATACCAAACATAATATAACACAACATAACATAACAGAACATATTGTAACAACATAAAATAACATATTATAATATAACACAGTGGTTCCCAAAGTGTTTATAATATCGTTTATAATATCATATTATAATATCGCTCCCCTAGGGGCAATAAAAAGATTTTAGGGGCGGTAAGGAAGAAGAGGGCGTTTGGGGGGCGATAGGAGGGTGGTAGTCCAAAGTCGAAGTCAGAAGTTTGAATGTTTGTTGATTTGTACACGAATGTTTTTGATTGTACGATTTGTACACAACACGTGCAGCACATCATGACTCCCAGTGATGGGGTTTTCACCCAGATTTGTTTTTTTAACCTCTCCTGGGTTTACGTCTTGGAAAAATTAATGGCCGGACTCCCGGTTGATCTCACGGCTAATTTCCAATTCAATGTTCAAATAATATCTCTCAAACTAATGAACTTAACTCGATGAAACTTGGTGCACATATGCATTAGAACCTAACAGTAATGTTAAGCTTGTGAATTTTTTTATTTTGCCTTCATTTGTTTTTGCCATAGTTATATGGCAATGCGGGCCAAAATTCACAGTACCGGGTAATCAAGAAATTTTTTCCAAACTATTGAGCAGATTCGAACGAAATTTGAATTTACATTTTACAGTCCTAACTACCAAACGTTATTGTTTAGCTNCACCTTGTGATAGGTTTAGGGTTTTTTAGATATTCATGGTACAGATGCTACAGGCTTGTTAGTGATTTTGGTATTGTCTTACCCCATCTGACTATACCTAACCTCAGCAACGGTTATGTTTAGCTCGCTACAATTTTTTCGTTTTGCCTTCATTTGCAAGTTATACGGCTATACGTATACGGATATACATAAACAGCTCTTGGTTAAACCGGCTGGTAGAAAACCGGTCATTCCTTCTATATCTGTATAACTCGCAAACAAAAGCAAAGTAGAAAATTTTTTGCAAGTTTAACATCACCGTTGAGAGGTTAGGTATTTATATACAAAGTTTTGTTGAAATCTGTTCAGTAGTTTAGAAGAAATTTCTTGATCGCCGCAAATTTGAGCGACAAATTATCCGGCAATAAGGGCCAAATATAATGAAATGTGAAATCAAGAATGGCTGTGAAGTGTAAAAAAAAATCGCAAACGAAGGTAAAATCGAAAATTTTTAAAAGCCAAAAAAGTCAATGCTTGGTAGTTAGGAATGTATATTCAACATTTCATTCAAATCTGTTCAGTAGTTTGGAAGAAATTCTTTGATCACTGCGTATTTCGGCCTTTATCGCAATATAATTCATGAATGAAGATAAAATTTAAAATTTTTCACAAGCTAAAAATCAACATTAGGTACTGATGAATATATGTTCCAAGTTTCCTTGAGCTGCGTTCATTAGTTTGGGAGATATTACTGGATAATTGAATTTGGAGATTGGTCGTGCGACCGGCCACGAGTCTGGCCATGAATATGCACGAGACATGCTAGGTTTCTAGTGCTGAAACAGTTAGAACAGCATAAAAACATATTGGTTCACTAAATGGGGTTTTATTTATGAAATACACATTTGTGTTTTACATTTATCTATTAAATTGCAGCGTACTAAATTTCAAGAAAGAGGTGTATGTTTTTATATGTCTGTGGGGGGGGCGCTAGAAGTTCAGTAGGGAGTCAAAGAGGGTGCCAGCCTGAAAAAGTTTGGGAATCACTGATATAATGTAACATAAAATAACACTTTACATTATAACATAATATAAAACATCGTGATATAACATTATACATTGTAACATAATAAAGAACAATAAAAAAATTATATCAAAAACTATAATAAAAGCACATTGTTTACTCAACATATCATGTTACAATGCATTATAAGACATTACCACTAAACCTAACACATTATTACACATCACAATGTAACACCAAAGATTATAATATAACATAACATAAGATAATAAAATAGGACACATAACAACAGAACATAATATAACAGGATACATAATAACACAACACATCATAACATAAGACAACACATAAAACAAAACATAAACAGTTATAATACATGTCACTACAGAACTCATTATTACACTACACAACATAACAAAAAAATATCACACATTATATCATGGCACAGTATAACATAACACATTATAACACATCACACCACTTATAACAAATCCTAATATAAACCAATGCATCATAACACAGCATAATCTGTTACCGTATGTTATTTTATGTTCTGTTATGTTATTTTCTGTGCTGTGTTATGTTGTGTTAAAATGTGTTGTTATAATGTCCTTAATACTATCTTATCTTATGTTGTGTTACAATTTTTTATATCATGATATGTTCTGTAACAATGTGTTCTGTTATGATATGTTGTATTACATTATGATGTGTTATGTAATGTGGTAACAATGTGTTCGATGTGATCGCCGTCCCTTCGCTGCAAACATCGGCATCCACCCTCTGTTCAGATGGTGCCTTGGCGTCTTTAGGGCAGAAAAATGGCGTCCTCGACCTATGTTGTGCCATACTCTACAGACTGGCTTGGACCAAAATGTCTGTGAATCCCTAGGTGCAGCTAATGTGTGAATATCTGAAGATCTTTGGCAACTCATCAGGAGTAAAATTTGTGCCTACAGATAGCAGAAGATCTTGCTGACATACTTGGATCAAAATTATTGCGTTTTAGATATTTGCAAATTTTTGGCAATGCTAGCCATGGAACAGGAGGTATACCAGTGGCTGCATTGTTATTATAATTTCCAGGTCCTATATGGTGAGATGTGGCTGCAAAGCACAATCCATAATTCATTAATTTTGGTTGCAATGCAATTGTCTACTGCAATACCTGGGGTGTTGAAGATACACTTGTTAAAGCTGGTTTTGTAAGAATTTCTCTGAAAATTATGTTCTCGCATTTTGAAGATTGCCAGTGATGTGACAAGCCAGCAACATATCTTGAAGATGGCATATAATTTTCACTGTTGGCATTCTAAATGCCTTCCAAATGACCATGTACCTATGTAATTAAGGAGCATGGTGACCAAAATAGTAGTGCAATCCCTCCAAAAGGAAGGAGAAGGACATCCTGATTCCTGAATGAATGCAATACAGTGCTCCAGCACCCAAATCACTGCCATTTCCTTACCAATTAGCACTCTTGGAGGGCCTTTGTATTGCACCCTTCCCTCCTGAAGTGCAGAGCGCTCCAACCATCCTGGTGCATCTGAATGACCTAACCCTTCCTGCAATTTCACTATGGTTGGCGATCATACATCATCGATTAATTTGAGTGATGGATGCCAAGCAAGATAAGATGATGAAGCCAGATAGTAATCATTGTTATTTCATGATTGAATCACAATTCCACATGAACCCCTCAGGGGGGACTTCTAACATGTGTCTGTGCGCGTTAGAAGTCCTATGGGATTTCGCGCTCCTAGGGGGATTGTTCCTGAGCGCCCCACCGCTGAGCTCGCAGTGTCTGACTGCAGGTCTCAGTTGTGGGGTTAAGTTATTATGTAGGTAGGATTCCTTACACTAAGTTATTATGTAGGTAGGATTCCTTGCATTTCCCTTCTCTGTCTCTCTCGTGCGGGTGGCCGACGTCCCGTGTAACTGTGTAAGCGACCTCTTGTTCGAGTGTCTTCGTTTCTGTTGCTTTTCACCTGTCCCTCCTTGTCACTTCGTCTCTTAGAGATGCTAACGCTGCTTCCTTCAAGCCAGCTTCAGCGGGCTGGACATCTGAGACCTTGCGCCCTTGTGGGTGATGGATAATTGAGACCTTCCACCTCAATGGTGTTGTTCATCTTGACTTTCGCTGCAAGATAGCTAAATGGCTGAAGGGCTAGTAAACATTTGGCCACTAAACCAACCAACCAACCAACCAATTCCACATGAACTGCATTTAAAGTTGGGATGACCAATAGGGTGCATGAATTTTTCCATCTGGCTGTAATTCTGCCAATAGATAGAAGAAAATCATCTTAGTCAGGGAATGTAAACTTTAAAGTATTCAATGATCCAATCAGTGTGTACTTCTATTAATTGAGATTCATTCACATAGATCTAATTTAGGACACTCATAGTGCTGGTGAATGAGGGTATTGGAACCAGGGGGACCACTTGATGTTAATTTGACCAGTAGATTCATTTTCAAACCACTAATTTACTATTTAGTTTTAATATCTCAGTGTACATGTACCTATGTCATAACAATTTCTAACTATGTCAGCTGACAACTGGAAGATAATTTGCATATTCAGTTTATTTTATTTTTGGAATGCCAAATTCAAGGCCTTGCAAAAGTACAAGATTTATTGGCAACTCAAGCTTCAGAAATTTCTGATTTTTGTATCACTGATGCCTTGCCACTTCAATATGATATAAGATTTTTACTGCACTCTGCATTTCTTTTATTTCTTGTGCAGCATATTAATTGATTTGGTTCATCAATTATGAAGAATTTTATCTGACAAAATTATTCTTGCTTATGGAATGTAATATGTATATCAACAAATTTGTGCAGTATGCAATAATATATTAGTTAGGATATTTCTGTCCTCATGCTCATTGTCATGCTCATTTGAAGTTATTGAAGCGAGAACTGTCATTGTTATTTTCAGACTTATATCATCTTCAGTTTAGGGATCAACTTAAGTTTTGAAGATGATGTTATTATCATTATCACTTGAACTCTAAGAAAGTTTATACCTTCTACCATCTCTTCCTCATCATCTAAAAGTAGGCCAAATTCCATTTCTTCAATATTTCCATTGGGTTCAATATCTCCTTGAGTCAATGTTGTCTATATAAATAACTAAATGGATTTCCTGAAAGATACAGTTTAATGTTATGCACTTGATGATTTTCAAAATCCAACATTATTATTTGTTCTCTTTATCTCTTGTGCACAAGTAATGTATGAAATGCACTTTTTCATAGAAACTTTCTCATTTGTTCTGCCACAGTTTCCATAAAAAAATTATACAGTACCTATTCACGATAACTTTTTGAATTGTTGACCCCAACAATATAAAATGTTCTGATCTAATTTTGTTTCTAAGTGCTGATAAATTAGATAAATTACAATTGATAGATTGATAAATTACTAGCATCTTGGTAAGAAAATAATCACTGTGTGTTTTCTATAAAGTTCACAACATAACCTGTACAACAACATGGACCCTAATATTATTCGGTAATGTTAGTCAATATTAATTTGGCATTTTCTTGTTTTTTAATTTTAAGCCTCACCTGATTTTATCTTGCAGTTGGTGTACTACCTGTCCAAGTTGAAGCACCTGCCTATCAAAGTTCCTCACCTGGAGCAGACTGGAGTAGGGAGATCTGTTAACTCACTGCGGCACTTTGAAGGCTCCGTGGGTGAACGTGCTAGAAGCCTTGTTGGTGTATGGAAGAAGATGGTGGCAGCTGAGGTGGGTGACAGTAATGAGCACAGCTCTGCATCAATCAACAAATCAAAAGAGTCATCAAGCTCTGGATGTTCAACTGGTGGCAGGCTGCACAAACAACACCAGCCGGCTAGTCAGATGGTTAGCGTACTCAGAGATGGCATGCCTGTTGTTTACTGCAACTAACTCATGTTCAGTGCTGCTAAAATTCTACATTTTAGCAACTATCATCACAACATTTTCTCTACTAGTTAAGGGGTTATGTAACTATTTCCTATTTTTAATTATTTATGCAACATTGCTTTTGTTTATTTAATGTTTTTTGGTAATTTTTAGAATATCTTTTTATTTAGTTCCTTAATTTTCTTGCATATTTTTGGATGGCTAATGAATTTTTTGAGTTGCGGATGTATACCTATATGTAAAAACTTTGCCTTTTTATATCAGCTACTAGCTTGGAAACTTCCCTAGTTTTTTTGCTTTATTAAATATCCTTTATGGCAATAGCAGTTATAAAACATAGTTAATGCTATCCCTATTATGTGAAATAGAAAAATCTTGTGTTAATTTTATACCATTAACCAAATTTCCACATTCTCTTGAATAAATATCTATGGCCGTTCTGTCATGTTCCATAAAATATAAAAATGCTTATTATAAAAGGTCCTTCCAGTAGAGATTGGGTTCATTTGAATTGGGTTTGCTTATTGTAACCCTTGAATCTAGTCTGTAATAACTCGCAAGGAAATGCATGTTCTTTTTACATGAAATTTTTTTACTTACTTCACTATCAATGGAAATGGCTTCATAAATGTACAACTCTTCTACTTGGGAATCTACTGGTAAAATAACATCTGATCTACTTTAGCTACATAAATTTATTGCTATATGTACTGAAAAGTACTTCACTTTTTTGTATCTTTAGAGTATTTTTGGATGTATATGGTTTTCCTTGTGCATTTTTTACACATTTCAAATTTCTATCCTTTATCTAATCCATCCATTGTTCTGTGGGTGTAGCAAACCGTTGAATAATTCGCACCTTATTGGCAACATTGCCACAAACCTCCTCATTTCTATCAACTTATAAAGCTAAAAGAATTTTTTCTTTTATCATTTATTGTTATCATTCCATGTTGGTGCATGGCCTCCTTAACAGCCTTATAAGGCAGCATGTTAGGAAGCTATCTTAGGGGTTGGAAATTCGTGTAAATTTTAGAACTATATAAACTCAAACTTAGAGTGAAAAGTTCATAACTGATTTTGTGTGGGCTTTGAATTGCTTGTAATGCCTCCATCCATTGCACTAATCATAGGCCATTATGTACAAAAATGAGACAACAATTAGCATTGTATCAATATAAACTTTCAAAAAAAAATTTTTGTATAGGTATATTCTGTCCCTGTTATGTTTTTTTTAATTGTACTGACAATTTTCAATTTTGCAGTCTCCTGATGAAGAAGATGAAGATGATGAGCGTTTGCAAATTGAAGTTGACGAAGACGCCAACGGCTACACTGGTGAAATTTCAGCAATATCAAATAACATGAAATCTTCACTATTACCTGATGAAGACATATCACCTCGCCATTTATGTAACCTTGCACCTGAAAACGACTACGATCCATCTAGACCACATGCAATCCTGCCACAAAGCAATGGCGACTCAAGTAAATACCAAGCAGGGACGTTTTGTGAACCTTCCTTGAGTGACAGTGATCACGGACAAGGTAAATACAATCCACTGACTTCTATGCAAGATTATGGCAAAGTAGGTGCTGTTGCCGTCAGTAAACCAACTTATGAACCCACTCCTGCCAACCCTTACGCTTCAGAGGATGACAATGAAGACCTTCCTTCTATAGAAATTCCGTCATCTGCCCATAAGAAGAGCAAACATAAACATACTCGCAGTAAGGAAAAAAAACACAAGAGTCATAGCAAAGAGAAATCCTCCAGAAGTAAACATCACAAGTCTAAAAGTTCTGATTCTGAAAAGGATCGATCACACAAGGACAAGAGAAAAGAAGATGGAAAAAGTTCAAGCAAACGAAGTAGAGAAGCAGAGGGAACAGAATCCATGATTGAAGAATCCTTAGATCGTAGACGTTCAAAAGTTCCTAAGCTCGTTGCAGATGACCCAAGCTATGATAATAGTTCTTTAGTGAATAGTAGTGATGTAAGTCCTGATAATAATACCCTTGATTGCAATATTGTATATAATGGCTACGACTCCCTCCCAGATTTGAAAAGTGTAAAAGAAAGTAAGCAAAGATCGACTTCTGGTTCGAGACATAATCATCATAGTAAACACAGTAGCTCTAGTAAAGATCGCAAGAAGAGTGAGAAGCGGAGTGGCAAGGACCATTCGCCCAGCACGTCATCGGCCGCTCCTAAGGAGAAAAAGTTGCACTCAGATGAGGGTTTCGCAGCTGCCCTATTGGGCGTTCAGTCTGAGCAATCAACTAGCACAAATAAGAAGTCTAAAGAGTTTCCAGATAAGAAAGAATCTAAAAAGGACAAAAATCACAAGTCTAAAAGCAGTCACAAGGACAAGAAGAAGAAATTGAGCTCTGATACAGATTTGCAAGCTTCCTCTCCATCTGTAAGTCCACCACGCAATTCTGGTGCGGCCAGCTCTTCATACCAGGTAAACAAAGCTGCAACTTCTCCTCAGGCTGCCACTCCCGCCCCTGTAGCTGCAGCAGCTGCACTTCCCGCACTCGCTGCCATCAATCCCAACTATAGACCTCTGCCCCGTGTTCCTTTACCTGATGTTCTGGATGACGATATTGATGAATATCCTATGAACGATCAACCCTCTGACAGTCATTATTCAGCAGAAGAATACGCGCGGGGCGTAATGTCATCAAAGAAAACTTCTAGGAGACCTGTTTACTCTGGCAAGTCATCCGGTTTGTCTGAAGTGCCAACTCTGTTTGACATTGCCACCCGCTGTCTACAAGAAAATATTGATTCAATTGAGTTCACGGGGGGTGTGCCGTTTGACGTTATTAGGCCTGTTGTGGAACGTGCCACTGCGAAGCAACTCTTCAATTTAGAACATTACAACCCTTACTTGTTGGAGAGCACCAATCAAATCTGGGAGCAGCATTGCAAGAAGGACTTCAAGAACAGAAAACCTGAAGAAATGGAAACTTATCGTGATATGTACATACGACTGATGGATGAACGTGAACAAAAATTCAAGGCCTTGAGTGAACAACTGACCCACAAGAAGGCCTCTGCGATCGCCCAGCGACGCACAACTCAGCTCGCTTTTGTCGGTACGGTTGCTAAGCCACCCAAGAATGTTGCTCGCGCTCAGGCAAAGTTTGGCACAGCGACGCTTGTTAGTTCTGCCAACCAGTCAAAATCAGATGAAATAAAAGCTCGAAAGACGGCCATGGCCAATGCCCAGAGAGCCGAAAGGAGCGGCGGCGCCGGTGCCAATGCAAGACCTGGTGCTTCAAAGAAACCTAAAGCTCCTCTCATGGCCAAAACCATGCAGGACTACAGAAAAACGTTTAGACGATAATAACTCTCGGTCGTCGTTCACGTCATCGAGAAGCCTGGCAATCTACTTCACTTACTTGATGTGTGTATATATTTGTGTTTTTTTGGCAATTTATAAATATTTAATCTCTCGCCCGAGCTCTCTTATGCAAAACTTACCTAGGTGCCAGCCTTGAAGGAAAAAGAAGATACATCGCTTGGCAATTTTTGGATTTTCCTCATTTCTGGTTTGACGATCTAACGTGTAGGGAAAACTATTAATTCGCTACTCCACGATCAACTTGCAACTATTTGATATTTGATTTAATAGCAACACGTTCATACTTATTATTTTTTGATCATTTATGGAAATTATCCTCAATTGGAATTAACTTCGGTTAGGAAAATAATCTATAGATTTGGTGTCTGGGGTGAGGGTTGTGCAACATTATTTTCAGATACTACTTTTACTGTTACACTTCTGTTCTAGCATCAGATTTCAATTGAACCATATAATTACCAGTTCTTTTTTAGCATTATTTATTGTCATCTTACTTCTTATTTCCCATTTTGTGAGCTTGAAAAAAAAGGTTTCCTTGCCTACCACTCAGACTCACTGATGCGGCGAGATTTTGGTTGAACATTTCTTACTACGTGTTCCTTGAGTGTGTTCTTCTATTTTCATTACTTTGGTATAGTGAAAATTATTATAAGCCTTTGCTGAAAATTGCTGAATTTTTTGTGAATACATCAGAGACTATTAAATTTCAGATATTTTCTTCTGTCGCTCCTGGAGCTCTCTGTTGCGGGTCATGGCTACTCCAGTTGAAATATTTTTTCTTCAATTTCACATTCTGTTCGTCAACTTTACCTTTTGTGACCTCCAATTTTTCGTCTTTTAAATTCCCTGTAACATATTCGTCTTTTGATTAGTGAACGTTATTCTCATGAAAATTCGTGAATTGCATTTTTGATGATCATTTCCAGCAATAGATACTTTTAAGTTACAAAAGTTTCCAATTCCCGATTTTCAAATTATCTAACCATTATTTTGGCCTTATACTATGTATCCGTAATGTTTCAATGGTCTTTTTGAATCTATTTATTCTTTTATACTGTAATTCTTAACCGCTTTTCATGTATAATATTTCTAACTTGCGCATCGTTTTTTTAAGTATATAAAAGTCGCCTTTTAGTTCCAGAACTATTTAATGAGGGCAGATGCTACTCAGCCCTTCTTATATTGATTTATTTACAACAAACCTGCTTGTTTCGCAGCTATAGGAAGAATCTCAGGCATAAATGGTAGGATTTTTTCCGGTCATTGCTGTGCTTTCTTAGCTCACTCCACAACTTTCTCCTCCAGTTCTACATTGTTCTTGCCATTTGTCCGCATCTCTTTGATTTAAGTTGACATTTACTCGTGTGTTTTCAGTGTGTTATTCATCTATTAATTATCAGACTAGTGCTTCTTAAAAGCTATTTATTGTGTTCGTTTCCATGGTAATCTCTGTACTAGTTTGACTAGAACCTGGAACTTCTTCTGAAATTCCTTTCCTTATTTATACTCTTCGAATATCTCTGCTCTATCAACATAGTAAATTTTCCATGCCATCTTTTACCAGTCATTACCACTACACAGTTTCTTGAGAATATACAATGGATATTGGAAAAATACTTCGAAGAAATCGAGAGCAAACAACTTTACTGGTACCTTTTAACGCTCGGTATACGAGTTTTGATTCAAATCTTTGAGTTGACTTGAAAAGCTATGAATGATGTTTAGCAAAGTACTTATAAGATAGATAACAACGATGTGATCAGCTGATAACATGAAGTCGGTGTTCTGGCGACGATACTTGAACTCTAGTTCTGCCCAGATGCCCTTTGATGGTTGTAGGGCCCGCTCCAGACATCAGGTGATGAACTGGAACTCGTATTCAGCGATCCAATTGATTTTTTTTTGTACGAGCAATATCTGTTACGTAAATGTAGTTCGCAACCCAGACATTTTTATTGGTGCACAAAAATACTTACTGACTACCGATTTCCTTCGCTCTCGATACGTTTGACTAAGGTTCGTTTGGTGCGAGTTACAATCATTTGTTCACTGCCACTGATTTTATTCCAGTCAAAAACGAGAATTTTGTAATTTCACGTTACTAATGTCGAGTTCATTGATATAGCCATGTCAACATGTATTTTAACGCAATTGATTCATATTCAACTATGTTTCTTTCTATTATTCTGTGACTATTTGCTTTTATTAAGTTCAACTTTTTGTGTGTTCACTTTACTTCTCCATCGTTACATTCTTCGCTAGGAACCATATCCATTTGTTTCTTCTCATATGCTAGTTTTCTTACGTGTTATCAGTTTATCAAATTTAGAAGTGATTATTCCGTTGTTTTCTGTGTGGGTATCAATTTTAAATCATTTAAAGCTGCGTATTTTTAATCTAGCTGTAATCCATCTCCATTTTTTGTGCTTTGACTTCAATAACCGCGTGATTCGAACTTGTATAACTAACCAAATGCGGCCTATAGCACTATATGTTTGCTGAATTCAATAACTAGCACCAGACGCCATTTATTTGTTAGGTTACAGGCCGTAAGCCGTTTGTTCTGGTTCTTGAGATGAAGCTGTCTAGCGCCGACGAGGGATGTGACAACTCGGATTTTAATTAAATGTTACTTCTGATACACAAATGAAACCATTTCGGTGGCAGATGCTATGAAACGGTAAAAAATTATAGTATAACTGAAACAAATGATCAGGTGTTCTGTTTCAATTCCTAAATCGCATCTGTTTTTGTTAACACTATCTAATCGAGTCTCATTCAGTTCCTAATTACGATTGAAAATATCTCAGTTCCTGGTTTCTTTCGAATCTGTTTCAATTCCAAGCCACTGCCGAACCTGTTTCAATTCCTAGCTGCAGCTGAATCCTGTTTCAAGTTTCTATTATATGCCAAATACCCGTAAACGTTGCCAGTTGCGATTTTTTTACACGAAAATGTAACCAGATTTTATAACCATTTCTGATTTAATTAATTTAATTTAAAATTTCTTACTTAATTGTAACATTAATTTGGTTGGATAACGGTACATTTTGTTTCACTGATATAGACTATTCATCTCAGTTTGGAAGGCTTTTTGTATACTGGTCAAATCGTTGATTTACAGAAGACATTTCTCTCTAATACTATAAATGTATTGTCTCGTGATGTCTGTAATCGATCCCGTTTAGTTTAATCAATCTTGTAACAGAACATTACTAACAATATATTTTATACTCTTTATTTCTTCTAAAGCAGTGAACATTTAGGTGGACTTTATACAATTTTGATCAACGAATTTGATTTGATGCTTTGATTTAAGAACCTTACTGATACCCTGACAACCGTTCATGGTTTCATGTACCGATCATATATATAGATGATCTAAAATATATTTTCCACGTTCACGTGGCGTGTGAACTTGATGATAGCAATTGTTGCAATTAACAAGAGTTTGGTATGGTCTTTACAATTAATATGTTTATTATTTATTAACGAAAGATGATTTCAGCCAAGATGTTATCAAAGTATGCACTTCCTCTGCCCACTGTACACAGTTGCAAAGAAAGATGCTTTCCACGTTTCACTTTGTATATTTTCTATGCCCCAATGAATATCTTGCGAATTCCTTTATCTTTGATTTTATTATGTAAATCCGTTCAAGTCGTGATACAACTTTAGAATAAAAGTGCATGAGATTTTTGCGTGTGGGCAAACTGCTGCTCGAGACACGCTATTTAGATTGCGTATGCATAATGCAGCTGTTTAGAATGCTCCATAAATATTTCTAATTTCTAAATTTCTCGTGGGTTAAGTTATATGAAATTAAATACGCTACTAAAGTTTGTACTGTATTTATCGCCCATGAATAATTGTACAAAGATTTTTTATCATTTGGTTCTATTTGAGTATCACCTCAGCTCAGATCCTTATACTCTACACTAAATTTTTTTTTTTTGTCAATGTGCTTTACGAGAGAATTACGTGTGTCGTAATGTGGATGATATAAGCGGCCATGTTGCTTGTATGTCCTTTTCTTTGTAAGATTTGTTTTACTTACGTCTTCGTGTTCCTGGAATGTATAAACAATAAAAATGTAATAGATTCTCTAGCTCTGTTGGAGACGAGTGCTCATTAAACGGAATAAACTGTTTCCTAATTTCATTTCTGAAACGCGTAAATAGGAAGTAACGTTCATAGGCATGAACAAGGCTAATGCATCTTATTTGAAATAAAGTGCCGATTTCCATCAAGTTACATAGCCCTGTGTTTTTTTAGATAAGAAATATGTTTGAGGAACGAGTTTTTTTTTTTTACTTCTCTTCGCTCCCACTTTTTTTCAGTGAAGAGTATATGTGCCAAGAATGAAGTCTTTGGGTTAATCATCGTTACTTCTGGATATAAAATCGAATTAAAGAGAAAATAGAAATGTAGGAAGAGTACCGTATATTATGTATCGATAATCACTCAGTAAATATGCAGAAATTAAAGTTATTTCAAAGACGGAGTTGTGCAGTGAAGTATGCGCCTAGACATGAAATTCTATTGTAACTACTCAGTATTAATAAAAATATAATAATAATAACGCCGATTCTCAACCAACCGGACAGCTTTCTGATTTTACTAAATCTTTCACAGCTACTTGCGGGTTTCGAACCGCATCTCACTGCTCCAATTGTTGTGATCTTAAGCACAAGGCCAACGGTCCAAAAAAAAAAACACCCTTTTTTTTGGATGTAGTTAATCTGCAATAATACCAAAAATTTAATAGAAAATGTTCAAAGAAGTGCAACAAGGATAATTCCAGGCTTGAAGGGCCAGTCCTATGAAGAAAGATTGAAGATTATGAAGCTCCCAAGACTCAGTTATCGACGTCTGCGTGGGGACCTCAATAACACCTCATTGAAGTATACATACAACTGATACAAGTATACTCATGGTTTATACAAGGTCCCCGAAGACTTCTAAATTGACTTTGGATGTCCCTACTGATTACTAGAATTTGAAACAAGAACCAACGCCAGGGGGCACGGCTATAAAATAAAAAAAAACTGCGCTGCAATTTCTTCACGCGGCAAAATTTCTTCTCTCTTCGATACGAATCATCGACATGTGGAACAGCCTCCCCGATGACATCGTTGGCGCTCCAAGTATGAACACGTTCAAGAACAGACTAGATAAAGCTGCGAAAATATATATGTTCAGATTTGAAATGCCTAGCACCATATCGAACCCGGTGGAAGTCTCGTAGCTACTTCAAACTATCGTCAGTTAGGAAAAGATCCGGTCAAATGACACGATTTTAGACCTTCTGTGAATAAGGCACGAAAAGGAAAAGAATCGGCGGCAGGCCACATCAGACCTACACTTCAGCGCAGAGATCACTAATGTTATGTTAAAAAACAGGAGACACCAAACGAGCGGTATTCTAGGTACCTTACTACCTGGATTCAGCTGCGGACTAAACTGTTACCAGTGGTCAATGTTACGGATTGAATGTACTTCTGCCTGCACTCCTCAAGGTTAACTTGCGCATCATCGGTACGGTTCGACGGTACCACCGTACCAGTTGGCAATTGGATTCCTCAATGCCAGAAAACCTATTTACGTACCTAATTAGACAAATGATGGAATATTTGATGTAAAAAACTGCTAACACTTTTGAAAATTGACTTTAATACTCACGCCTAATCTCTAGTCTCTACGTACCACGTAACCACTGCGTGACGGGAGTCGGAGCTCGACGTTCACGTTAAACGTTTATGTGTGTTAATAACTTGAACTTTTCCCGTCACCGTCAGAAATTTATAGGGATTAGGGAGTCGTGCGAGCTGTGTTGCATTGTCCTATTGCGTCATTGCTCGCCTTTCCGTCAGGCAGTTAGAGTGACGGCTACGATTCATCGGTTCTACGAAGCATCCTTCAATTCATAGGTAGTTGTGGTTTATTTTTTTTTATAAAATATATCGGCCCTATTAAATTAAAGGCCTGTGACTTTAGACCAAGAGCTTACATTACAACTGATTCAATTGAACTGTAGTTTGATAATACTAGTACTAAAGTAAGTAGTATTGTAGTAATGTAATTGATCAATGATCAGTTACCTAAATAAAAAGTTCACCAATGAAATTTTGCTGAGATTTCATTTTTGCTTCAATTATTAAATTATAACTAACAGTCAGTCGTTAAGATTATGTTATTCAATTTTGCACTTCAAAGTTCTAGATAGAAATTCTGTTTCATCTAATTTGGATTCTGTGATGATGTGATCTAGATTCTAGCAGATCTACCTATGCTTCTCACTTTCTCAGCTCAGCTTATGAAACTGAAAGACTGTAACTTGAAAGTTGAATCTAATTAGGTATCTAGAACTATTTGGAATATTGGGAAAGGGAGTTTCCTAAAGGCTAAAGCCTAAAAGTCACTCATAGTGTCAATTTCAAAGCAGAGACTTATTTTATTTATATTATTCCTCTTCCTCACAAGCTCACATTAAATTTTGAGTCCTGTANGACTCCAATGTTACACATGTACAATGATTTTCTTATTTTATTTTTTAATATTGAAAAAATTTTAACATTATTTTTTTTATTCTGTCAATTGATTGATGCATTGCCTGATCTGCCTCCAATTTTACACACATTTTCAGAATTGAAGCAGGACAGGTAGCTAGAAGCAGGCATAGAATATACTATCTACCATACTTGGTGAGCCGCGACTGAATTTTTGGAGCCGTGGTTTTATGGATTTGCCAGCCATGATTCCATTTCTTGGAGCTGTGATTTATTATCCATGGAGCCATGAATTCCATATTTCGGCCATTAAAATCCATTTATAAGCTGGCAGCTGCAAACTTTTTACTTAGTCCCTTGCATGTGTTACCCCTAATCTCTAATTTCACCCTAAAAACAGTAAACACTAACATTTGTCTTCACTTGAGTTGAGTGGCAACTTATCACATGATAATGCAGTCTGCCCACTCTGATGTGACTACAACTACAGTATTACTACACTATGAGCATAGTTGCGAACCAGTGATTTTGTAGAACCAGTTCAGTTTTAATTTTCTTATTTACTCAAGATTTAAACCAATATCTTATGTATGTTGATGCTGGTATCCATGATACTTTGCTGGTCTACTTATAGGACTTGAAATTGAACTTGAAGGAGAGTCTAAAAAACTCTCGGCTTTGCCACTAAGTCTATAAAAAAGCATTTTAGGTTGACATATTGTTGTTTTGTTGTGCAGGATATTTTGGCTGGATCATTGAAGTAGTGCAGATTGCAGAAGTTAAGTTGAAAATTTTATGAAATGACATGATTGCAGAGTGCAAACGGCTATTTTTCAATCAAACAAAAATACATGACATTAGAGCCATTAGATTTCATACCTACTGAAATTATATGATATTAGAGCTATGATATTTCAGAAAAAAATAGGACTTTTCCAGCCCTGGGTAGAAGTGTGTTAAATATTGTATTGGTTATAATTGATAAGATTTTTATCACATGGACAGACAAACAAACAAGAATAATTTATGAAAAAGCTATGTGAAAGGGTGAAATTGACCAGATTCATGGGTATTTTTGTATAATTAAAGTGTAGCTCCTACCCAATTTTCCACTAGAATCTAGAATATTAGTTGTGAGAAATTGAGATTGCCTAATTCTATCAGAAAAATTAATAAAAATTTGTAACATTTTAATAAATTGGACAAATTATTTATTTAAATGGATGCAATGAAACTATGCTGATGACCCTTTGCTAAAGTTCAATGACAACAGGAATCTGTAAATTTATCGGGTTTAGTATACAGCAAGGGATTTGTTTCAGATAACTATTAAGCTTAAAAACTATGTTAGCAAGAAATTGGTCTGGTCGGTGGAAAGAAATCCTTGAAGGGCATTTCCCCAGTTGATTCTGCAATACAGAAATAAAAAACTAGAAGGTAACAACTTGAACAGATAGTATTATCTAAATATGACTTAGACTTGCTAAAAATTATGTATCAAACACTGACAAGTATGAATAGCAAAATTAACAAACTTTAGATTTTGGTACAATATAGTGCTGAAAGCTATAGTAAGATGGATAAAAGGAAACTTGGGAGGTATGAGGATACCAGTAAGAGGAAGATATTCTAGTGTAGATAAGAAATAAGAATAGTACAGTTCGGAGATTTGAACTTTGGAAATCAGGGAAAGGTTATAAGTTATAACTTATAAAAAATGTTGGTCTTGGCTATGGAAAATCAAGGAAAGGTTATAAGTTATAACTAAAAAAAATGTTGGTCTTGGCTATGGAAACTGGCTCCACAGCAATTACTGGAGACCAAGCTACAAAGAATTTGTAGTTCCAATGATTTCATTATTGATGTAGGCATTAAGTAAATTGTCTGCAGTACTGTAGAATAAATTGATACTAATCTAATATTACACGTTAGAAAACCACTGTCACTTTAACAGAACACTGATTGAACACTTGTCTTGTATGTATCTTAGGGCCGTAGCCCACTTCTAGAATGAGGAGGACTCTGTGGGAGAACAGTAAAACGTGGTAAAGGGAAAGCGTAAATTCCTTCAGCGCCGAGATCACTAATGTTATGTTAAAGTGGGAGACACCAAACCAGCGGTATTCTAGGTACCTGGATTCAGCTACGGACAACACTGTTACCAGTGGTCAGTGTTACGGATTGAACGTACTTCTGCCTGCACTCCTCAAGGTTAACTTGCGCATCATCGCCCATCGGTACGACGGTACCAGTGCGGCAGTGCAGTTGGCAATTGGAATTGCTCAATGCCAAGTTTTTGAACCAGAAAACCTATTTACGTACCAAATTAGGCAAATGATGGAATATTTGCTGTAAAAAAACTGCTAACACTTTTGAAAATTGAGTTTAATACTCACGTCTATCTCTAGTCTCTACGTACCACGTAACCACTGCGTGACGGGAGTCTGAGCTCGGCGTTCACGTTAAACGTTTATGTGTGTTAATAACTTTTCCCGTCACCGTCAGAAATTTATAGGGATTAGGGAGTCGTGCGAGCTGTGTTGCATTGTCCTATTGCGTCATTGCTCGCCTTTCCGTCAGGCAGTTAGAGTGACGGCTACGATTCATCGATTCTACGGAGCACCCTTCAATAAGTTCAATTCATAGTTGTGGTTTATTTTTTATAAAATATATCGGCCCTATTAAATTGAAGGCCTGTGACTTTAGACCAAGAGCTTACATTACAACTGATTCAATTGAACTGTAGTTTGATAATACTAGTAAGTAGTACCTATTGATCAATGATCAGATTGCCTAGGATCCTAGGTACCTAAATAAAATAGTTTCTCATTGAAATTTTGCTGAGATTTTATTTTTGCTTCACTTATTAAATTATAACTAGGCTAACACTCAGTCTTTCAGTCTTCAGATTATGTTATTCAATTTTGCACCTCAAAGTTCTAGATTGAAATTCTGTTTCATAATTTGGGATTTTTGGATTCTATGATGATGTGATCCTACCTATGCTTCTCAGTTCAGCTCAGCTTATGAAACTGAAACTCTGAAAGACTGTAACTTAAAAGTTGAATCTAATTAGGTATCTAGAACTATTTGGAATATTGGGAAAGGGAGTTTCCTAAAGGCTAAAGCCTAAAAGTCACTCATAGTGTCAATTTCAAAGCAGAGACTTATTTTATTTATATTATTCCTCTTCCTCACAAGCTCACATTAAATTTTGAGTCCTATAAATAGACCAGCTATGAGCTATCCAGCAATGAATGTAAGATGGAATCATGCCATGGATACTAGCATTATCTAAACAAAGGTTTTAAAAAATCTCTGGTTTGACACTAAGTTAAATGCAGATAAAAATAATTGTTTCATACCTAGCCCTAGGAAATGAATGATGGGATGGGAGCTTTTCAAGAATTATGGGTAAAAAAATATGCATTTAAAAATTACTTTTTAAAAAACACACTTTTAAAGAAAGAGGCTGCAGGCTGGTATGATTCCAATCAGACATTAGTCCAATGTTTCACATGTAGGTACAATGATTTTCTTATTTTGTTTTTGAATATTGAAAAAAATTTAAACATTATTTTTTTATTCTGTCAATAGGTTCATGCATTGCCTGATTTGCCTCCAATTTTACACACATTTTCAGAATTTCAGATTGATTGGACAGGTAGGCTAGGACAAGAACTTCAGCCTAGAAACAGGCATGGTCCGCGTGGAATATACTATCTAGGCGGCTAGGCCTACCGCATAGTGGCAAACCAGAGCTTTTTTTAGAATAGGTTCATTTTTAATTTCCTCATTTACTCAAGATTTAAACAAAGTTCCCAAGTATGATAATGCTGGTATCCATGATACCTACTTCACTGGTCTACTTAAGTACTTATAGGACTCATAAGTAAACTTGAGGCAGAGTCTAAAAAACTCTCTGCTTTGCCACTATGGGTATGCCACGGTAGGGTAGGCCCTACCCTACCGTACTTGGTGAGCCGCGACTGAATTTTTGGAGCTGTGGTTTTATGGATTTGCCAGCCATGATTCCATATCTTGGCCATTAAAAGCCATTTATGAGTCAGCAGCCGCGAACTGTTTACTTAGTCCCTTGCACATCAGCACGTGTTACCCCTAATCTCTAATTTTGCCCTAAAAACAGTAAACACTAACATTTGTCTTCACTTGAGTGGCAACTTATCACATGATAACATGGTGCCAATCCATAGGTTATTCAAAAGAACCTGTTCTTATGTCATTTTGAACCGATTAACACTTCTTTATGGATCGATCGTAAAACACACCTTCACCGGCAAAAGCTTTCACACTTCTGAAGAAGGTGAGCTGACAGCTATACTGGCCGTGGGGTGTGGGTGGACCTAATTTGAATTTGAATGCATGCAGCAATTCAAAATAGAGTTTAGACCATTACAACTTGCAAGAGGGGCCCAAGGGCCAAGGGCATGGGGCCTTGCGAAGGGTTAAGACCAACGCACGGCGGTGGACCGATAAGTACTCTCAATAATTCCCTGCCACCATGCATGATAATGCAGTCTGCCCACTCTGCTGTGACTACATACAACTAGCTATCTGTAAGGAAACATTTTAGGTTGACATGTTTTTGTTTTGTTGTGCAGGATATTTTGGCTGGATTATTGAAGTAGTGCAGATTACAGAAGTTGAAAATTCTATGAAATGACATACTTGCAGAGTGCAAACCGTGATTTTTCAATCAAACAAAAATACATGACATTAGAGCCATAAGATTTCATACCTACTAAAATTATATGATATTAGAGCCATGATATTTCAGAAAAAAAATGGGACTTTACCAGCCCTGGGTAGACCGTAAAAGTGTGTTGAATATTGTATTGGTTATAATTTATAAGATTTGTATCACACGGACAGACAAACAAACAACAGGAGGTGAAGTTAAAGAGAAGTGTGGTAAAACTGCAGTTTTTTCTGTTATTAACAGAATAAATTTATGAAAAAGCTATGTGAAAGGGTGAAATTGACCAGATTCATGGGTATTTTTGTATAATTAAAGTGTAGCTTCTACCCAATTTTCCACTAGAATCTAGAATATTAGTTGTAAGAAATTGAGATTGCCTAATTCAATCAGAAAAATTAATAAAAATTTGCCGTGTTTTGATAAATTGGACAAATTATTTATTTAAATGGATGCAATGAAACTCTACTGATGTCCCTTTGCTAAAGTTCAATGACAAAAGGAATCTGTAAATTTATCGAGTTTAGTATACAGCAAGGGATTTGTTTCAATTAACTATTAAGCTTAAAAACTATGGTCGCAAGAAAATTGACCTGGTTGGTGGAAAGAAATCCTTGAACTTTTGAAGGGCATTTCCCCAGTCAATTCTCCAATACAGAAAGAAAAAACTAAAAGGTAACAACTTGAACAGATAGTATTATCTAAATATGACAATTTGACCTTTGGAAATCAGAGAAAGGTTATAAGTTATAACTTCTAAAAAATGTTATGGAAATGTTATGGAAATGTTGTGGAAATTTATTAAAATTATTATTATATTAAAATGTTATGGAAACTGGCTCCACAGCAATTACTGGAGACCAAGCTACAAAGAATTTGTAGTTCCAATGATTTCATTATTGATGTAGGCATTAAGTAAATTGTCTGCAGTACTGTAGAATAAATTGATACTAATCTAATCTGTATGTATATATTTTTTGGAACTCCTGTGTCCTGTAGTTGAAATGAAGAGAAAATTGTGTTAAACTTATAAATATTTCTATCATTTGCAAACTCCTTCATTAAAAAAATCAGTTCATAATGTCAGGTAGCACTGAACAGCGTGTGGCTCAAGCACTGGCTAATCGGGTGAGTAGATAATCTTTTAAAATTTAGAGGAAAGCTCTCGAATTTATTGATTATTTTTTATTGAATTAAATGAATTAAAATTGTGGTTTCATTTCAATTTGCTTTTTATCAGTGATTACAAAATATATATTTAATTCTTAGATTACTGGTATGTATAAATTAATTAAAATAATTCTAATTATTAATAAAAAAATGCACTGGACACATTTTTATTAGATATGATTATTTCTGTTATTTGACTTATATGAATTATTTGAGTATACATCTTACATGGAATGGCATTAATTGATTTAGGTTGGATGTAGCTTTCTCATTATATTTCATAGAATTGTTTGAAATGTTCTATCATTTTTCATGTCTCTTCATCCTATTGGTATTTTATAGTAAATTTTGAATGCCTTTATTTCACAGTATCAACATGTTGCCAAGACCAAGACGGACTGTATGAATTTACTCAACCAGTATCGAGGCCTTGCTGCCAAATTGGATAGATTTGGTAGGTTGTGCCCATTATCTGTCTTTAGTTCTTTGTCATTTCCTGTGAACTTTTATGACTATTGTGATAGGATTGGTAATAAGATATGGATTGGTAATAAGATAGAATCTATCTTATTACCAATATGGATTGTTAATAAGATAGATTCTAAAATATAATGATATAGGTAATGATTCAAGTAGTATACAAGTTTAAACATCATTGCTCTTGAGGCTTGGTAATGTTTACAAATTAAAGGATGCATAAGATATACTTTTTTGTATATCTGTTGTATGTATAGGATATGTACAGAACTTGCCAAATATGCAACGTCTATAGAGATAATTTTTAATGATATCCATAATTTTGTTAGTTAAAGATATTGACTCTACACAGATAAACTCAATGAAATACACAAAAAATATAATTTCCATCATTACCATAGTTGTCATTTTTATTAGATTGTTAGTAAATTTTAAATAAATTAATTCATTGATGATAGTGTGATTTCAATTTTTTGCTCAAGGGTTCTGGTTTTTTGTGTAATCTTGTGTATAATTTTGAATAATCTTATATTTTGCCATATCAAATATAGTACTCTATCCACCTTCATGATGATCATATACTCAGCAATAAATTTGTTAGCTCATCACTCACTAGTTCTACCTTCTCTGTACATGACTTGTACCTCTCCACTCTCATGGCATTTTAATTATCACTTCCTCATATTCAAGTGTTTAATGATGGCATCACAAAGCAGTTACTCACACTGGATGGTACCATTCCTGTACCCTTCAAGGGTGAGTTTAATGAGGCCTTAATGTTACTGCTCTGCCTGAAAGATCTCCTGTTACATTTCCTCTCCATGCATTATTTGCCTGTTAATTTTCTCAGTATTGAGATCTGCTGTGCCATCTTATTTGCATTGATTGCATTTCAATAGGTACTTGATTGCTTGTATATCTACTTATGGACTGGGATGTAAACATTTTGATGAAATCTCACTTGCAGCAATCATGTGGGAAGTATAAATGACTGATTAGCCTGTTTCATTGTTCAAATGACGACACAGAGAATCTTAAAATGCATTTGAAGGCTGTGCATGTGATCTTTCAGGCTTGCATGAGTATGATGCTTGAAAATTACATTGGCTCACCTGCTGATGCTGCTGTTTGGTTTTAATAAAATTTGTGGCTAACTAAAACTCATGTGGAAATTGCCACAAATTTTCTTAACCACAACACAGTTTTGCAGAGGCCAAATTTTCTATCATTCTGTGATTCTCATTACTTGTCTCTGTCTCGGCCTGCTTCTGAAGTGTTTAGTAGTGGAACATCCCGCTACCTGCTGTGTCTTGAGGGAACTATACCTGTTGTCTACAAAGGTAATACAATTTCATTGTTGACAAGATGCTGTGAAGCCTTTATCCTGCCTTGCACCTTCTTCCTGTTGCATTGCACTCTGTGACTGTGCTTAATTTCTTAGTTACAAAAAACCTCTCCTACTCTCTCTTTGTCAAAAGTTGTTTCACACCTGAACTGAAGTGCTTAAATTTATTCTTACACAAACTTTCAAAGTTGGCTTTCATGTTGATATTTTATTGTTTCTGAGTGGATGCCCAATTTCTCTCAATTCCTGATGTATGGTAATGGAGTTTTCTGGCCAGAAAGGCAAATTTATTACCTAATATATTTGGTCTGCTACAACATATGTACTAGTCTAGTTAATTATTTATTCTTTAATGTCAGCTTTACTTATGCTGCAATTATTTATTTGCATCGGCTGCAAGTTGTGACACCTGTATTAATTAACTCAACCTAATGTAAATATATTGAAATTTCTGGATTTTTTTAATAGCCTTGCTTCTAATTAAAGTATACCTGTATACCATATTGCTTTTCTTGGCTTCTGTCCACTTATAATTACTTGCAATGGTGAACTCCTTAGGTTCTCTGCTATAAGAAGGCTAGAAACTTTCTTGCCAATTAGAATGCTATGTGTGAAATATTGAAAAACTCATTGTATTTCTTATGTTTGTGATTTTATTTATTATCAAAGAATTCACAATCTTGTTATCAAGTGATGTTTTGAATAGTTCTATTAATGCAACTGACACTTATATTATTATCTTTACATCATCCAATATTTTGTAGTAGAATGTACAACCTATCATTAAGGATTTTATATATGTGCTAAATATTGTAGGTAGCACCTACAACATCCCCATCTGCCTGTGGATATTGGACACCCACCCATACTCTGCCCCCATGGCTTTTGTCAAGCCGACTGCAGATATGCTCATCAAGGCCTCTAGGCACGTCGACCAAAATGGCAAGATCTACTTGCCTTACCTCCATGAGTGGAATCCAGTAAGTTTTTGTTCCATATTGAACTTGAAGAGTGCATATATCTCATCATGTTCAATATTTTTTTCATATATGTTTTATGCTAGTACAGACCTCATCATATGGGATGATTTTCAGTATATATTGAACAAAACATTTTCATAAATTTCAGTGAATATCAAAAAAATTGATTTGCATGCAATAGCTTCAAAATATCAGTTATCATGTTCATCTCCATATTTGTATTCACTGAAGATATCTTGTATTCTAACAACCTGTGTTACACTAAAAACTTATCATGTTTAAATAAGTTTTCTAGTATAATTATTTGTTTCAGGACGTTTCAGATTTGATTGGCCTGGTGCAAGTGATGATCATGACGTTCAGTGAGATGCCTCCTGTCTATGCAAAACCTAAAGGAGCGCCTCCTACTCCAGCCCAGCCTGCCATGCCATACCCAACTACCCCGTATCCTACCCAGCCAAGTGAGTGCACATCATGTTAGCACGCTGTGATAACCTTATTAAATTGTGATGATCTATTGGCTGTACTTAAGAGTGATGGACTCGTGTATGACATTCATGTTGCGTGTGTGATGCACACTTGTTTTGTGTGTGACACACGTATCTCGTGTGTGAGACGCGCTTGTCTCGTATGTGAGACGAATTTCTCGTTTTAATGCTAATAGAATAGGTATTTATGCCGTTGGTTCAGTTCTTCATGCTATCACTTAATTACATTCACAGTCTAGAATCGCATCTTGTCTATACCTGGTCCTGGTTGATCTGATCAGGGTCAGCTGAGGAGATCTCTAACTTGATCTCTTTTTACAACACTTCTCTTTAACTTCACTTCTTGTTTGTTTGTTTGTCTGTCTGTCTGTCTGCTACAAATCTTATAATCAAAATTTAACACACTTCTACTTATCTTATCGATCTGAAATTTTGCACACTTGCGTAAAGTTGGAGACAATGCATGAATCAAATGACAAAATAAATGATTTTAAAAATTAAAAAAAAAAATTCAATACTGTATTAAAAAATTGAAAAAATAATTTTGTCAGCTACAAATCTTATAACTGATATTTGACACACTTTTACCTGTCCAATTGACATGAAATTTTGCTCACTTGTGTGAAGTTGGAGGCAATGCAGGAATCAATTGACAGAATAAATAATTTTGAAAACAAATTTTAAATATTAAAAAATAAATTGAATTTTTTTTAATATTCGAAAATGAAGTTAGAAATTCATTTTACATCTGTAACATTGGAAACACCGGATTCTTTAGAAGTGTTGTCTTTAAAAAGTAATTTTTAAACGTATATTATTATTATTACTTACAACACTTCTCTTTAACTTCACTTCTTGTCTGTTTGTCTGTCTGTCTGCTACAAATCTTATAATCAAAATTTAATACACTTCTACTTATCCTATTGATCTGAAATTTTGCACACTTGTGTAAATTTGGAGACAATGCATGAATCAAATGTCAAAATAAATGATTTTAAAAAGTAAAAAAAAAATTTATAATAAAAAAATTGAAAAAATAATTTTTGTCAGCTACAAATCTACAATGCATGAATCAATTGACAGAATATATAATTTTGAAAAAAAGTTATATATATGTAAAAAACTGAAAAATTAATTTTTTAATATTTGAAAATAACATTTGAAATTCATTGTACATCTGTAACATTGGAAACACTGGATTCTTTAGAAGTGTTGTCTTTAAAAAGTCATTTTTAAACGCATATTATTTAAATATCAACACCCAATGAAGAAATAGTTTTTTTTAATTTAAATTGAAATAATGCTCATTTTCTAAAGTTTTCAATAGTTTTGATGGAGATCTGTTTGGCAGGTTACCCGGCATACCACGGAGGAGCGGGCTACCCTCCCTCCAACACAGGGTATCCTGCACCAGCATATCCTCCCTACCCGCCCCCCGGCAACTTGCCCTACCCGACACCTTATCCTACTCCTGCTGAGGTATGCAACCCTGCAGAGGTAGGATTACTGCTATTCCTCCTCCATTTAAGGTAGCAACCTTGCTGGTGTAGGATTACCTCTATTCCGCCTCCATCTAAGATATTAATATTTGCAGAGGTATGATATTAGCCATATCTTTGCTTTGAATATGTTGAACTCAGTTTATACGTATGTAAGATTAGAAGTACGAATTAGGTCTAAGTAGTTCATTTTAGTTAGTTAGTTTTAGTTTAGTTTTGGTTTAGTTAATGAAGGAATACAATTATTTTCAACATTATTGATTTGTCTTATATTCTTGATGCTGTCACTGGTTTTGTCTTGTGATGGCACTAACCCAAGTTACTCAATTGAAATAAGAAATGTTTATTTGTTAGCCTAAAATGTGAAGATTGCTACCGGAACTCAAAGTCGAGCTCATATTTCTTGAGTTGGTTACTGAAGTTTTTGAAATGTTAGTTGAGGTTATGTTTAGTTAATAAGCTATGTGATGAAGTTCTGAGTTAGTTCTGAAATGTTACTGCTTCATACTGTCTTTTATTGGTTCTTATATTTGTTCTTATTTCTGTGCAGAATACTCTAGCTGGTGGCTCTGCTTCCATGGCCGCTGCTGCAGGAAATACGGGCACCATAACTGGTACAAAGCAATGAAATCTTGGCATTAATTTTCCATGCATACTCTCTTTCTCTGGGTTTTAATTATAGGTAGTTATGGATCACCCTAATGAATAAAGAGTTCTTATCTTTATCTATTTGTGTTTCTCAATGCATTTATTTTGGGATTAACATGAGCTTCTTTTTAACCTCATCTTTGCCTGAATGTCAATAGCTTTGGAAATTCAAAGCTACGTATGAATTTTAGAATTTTTTCCAGATAATTACGTCGGTTTATTGTATCCATCAGCTTGATATGACAGCGTGTAGAGTGTTGTCATTGACGGTAGTAGGATTAGTTCCTCCTGTACAACATCATATTCTTTGTACACTGTAACACATTCCTTGTACACTGTAACACATTCCTTGTACACTGTAACACATTCCTTGTACACTGTAACACATTCCTTGTATACTAAAAAGTTCCTGGTGTATTACAGAGGAACACATTCGCCTGTCGCTGGTGTCTGCAGTAGAGGACCGAGTGCGTGACAAGCTCCGCGAGAAACACGGCGACGCGCAGGCCGAGGTTGCGGTGCTCAAGCAGCAGAAGGCCGACCTCGAGCGAGGGCGCGCCAAGCTCAACAATATGATCAGCAAACTCCAGGCTGAGCAGGTTACTTTAAAATAAGTTAAATGAAAAAACTATGCAACTTTTTACCTGAGAATTGAATATTTTTTTAATGCACTTTTTTAAACTATGCGTCTTGTTTACCCAAGCGTGTAGGTTAGAGTACTAGACCTGCACCAGGTCCGCTATTACTATTCTATCAGGCCTAAAAAGAAAATATAACACGAACATTTTATATTCAATGTGTATATATTCATTGAACATACTAGTTATTTATGCAAACTTACTTTCTCCATTTTGCCTTTCCCATAGGTATACAGGTATGCATATATATTGCAACCATGCTTGATTGAGTGGTTATAAACATTTCATATGATTTTTTGGTCCTGTAGAATTTATTTTGATTTGAGAGTTGTCGACTGTAAGTTTGTTTACAAGTGTTTTTTTTTTTTTCTCACCACATACAATAGCACCAACTGTCAGGACAAGAATAATATATTCGATTTATTTTCTGTACTTGATGAAGAACATATATATTTACATTATAAATAATATATGTGTTTAATAATATAATAATTATAGTATAACAATATTTTGCCAGAACGAAGTGAATAAAAGCATCCGTGTGCTGAGGGAGCGTGAGGCTGAGCTCCGTGGTCTGGTCGAGCAGAGCGAGAGCACTCAGAAAGAATTGGACATCGATGAAGCCGTGACCACAACCGCACCTCTCTACAGGTCAATAATTTCAACTCCTGCCTGCTATTCTATTATTTTCCTAAAACTTTTGAATGTTCATTAATTTTGCCCATGGGGAAATATTAATCACCAAATATCTTGCCAACGAATTTTTTAAATTAATGTTCGGAAAGTTGAGTGCTGTGAATTTTCATTGACGGTAGTTCGTTAGTTTATCATTCAAGGCCAGAACGCTAGTCTGATCACAATATGGACAAACATTATTGTTCTGAATTACTAAATTGTGGGCACCTGCAGGCAACTTGTAGCTGCGTACGCGGACGAACAAGCCACCCAAGACGCTATATATTATCTGGGCGAGGCCCTGAGACGCTCAGTGCTCGACCTGGACACGTACATGCGCCACGTGCGCGCTCTCAGCCGTCGACAGTACCAGCTCCGCGCCACCATGTCTCTCTGCCGGCAAAAAGCAAACCTTGCCCCATAATTTCTGCATTTTTATCTGCTTTAATATGCCTTTAGATCATAATGTTCCTGCACTTCGGATAGTCTTTCAATTTATTGAATGGCAATATTGACCTTTTGTAACTAACTTGTCATTTCTTGCACTACAAGAGGAATTTATGTATTGTACCTATATGCTAGGGCACTGTTAAAGAGAGTAACTTTGAGGAGACCTACTTCTCACCTGGCATATACACTGTTAGAAATAACGGTGAAAAAATTGTCTAACCGGCGTTCTAGTGGCTGGGCCGCTCCGTGATAATAAACATTTTCTCCGTTTTTTTTTCCAACTGCGGTGCGGATTTCTTGTGTTATATTGAAAGAAAAACATCGACGTTGTGTTTTATTTCACGTGCTCTCGGCCACTGACATGTCGATCAGACTTTTTCAGGGCGTTTTTCAAACGTTGGTACGTTAAAAATAACGTTTATTGAACGTTGTCTCAACGTTATTTGACTGGAAGATAGTTGTGTCATCTTAAAAGTACTACTCACGTTGTGTAGAAGCAAGCTATCTGGCGCGGCGTATAATTGTGGGTAGGATGTGTTTTGTTCGTTTCTTGAGAACACAAATTTTTGTCATTTTCTTTTCAGATTTATGAAGCAGGTCATTGTAATAACTTATTGAAATTCTCATAAAGTTAATAGTTTTATCATAGCGTTCTCGTTGTATGATTTTTGAAAGTTGAGTGCTAAGTAATGCTAGTAATTATTTTGTCTATTATTTATGGAATACTTCATTTTGCTATGGATGTACTTTGTGATTATAATTATGTACTCTAGTAGAATTCATTTCATCCATAAACCACACACTGGCCTGGTGCAATGACTACCAATTATATACCCAGGAATACAGGACTGTCATTTGAGATAAAGCAGCATTTTTAAATTACTTTAGCATTACCATCACTTTAGAGTTCAGTGGAGTTATGGGTGCGTAATTCCGCTTAAATAATGCCTTCTGAATTGATTTCTTTCTGTAATATGTATATGTAATTGTATAATTGTTTTGGTACAAGTCAATTGGATGTATTGTTTACTTCAGAGTATTGGTGAGAACCTTGCGTGTTCCCGGTAGTCTGGGTAAAAGAAATGTTATTCCTTCATTTCAGGTTTTTCTGAAATTCAACTATTCATCAGAGCTGAATTAGCATTTTTTTATTGAAGAAAATGTTTCTAACATTAATTGAAATCTATTTTATAAAGTTTCACTAATTCTTCTTTGAGATTCGAAGAATGTCATCAATGATGAGTTTACAATTTGCTCTGGAGTCTGGAGCTCTTCCAGGGATGAACTTAATGGCCATTATATTTTATATTATCCTGTATATGAAAGTATGACTTATTGTATGGATAAATATAGTAATTTTAATTTGACCAGCAATTGATTGAGTCCTTTTCTATGATATTTTTGTTTCATTTTTCGTATAATATTAGCTATTAATTGATTCTTGATATTTTTTTCATTTATTGAAGCTCGTCCTGAGACATGCGCGGAGTCTTTAGGACTTTTCTTGTGCTAAACAGAGTTGCCCGATGGGCTTTTTCTCGGCCTAATTCAACGATTTAGGCCTTTTTGCAAAAATATCGTGCATTTTAATTTTTTTTACTGATTCAACCAAATTATCCCTTTTCCGGGATGATTTAGTTCATAATCCTATAACTGACAAGGAAGACACTCATGTCCGATACTCTTTTCAGGAGTCAAGGCACTATTTTCACGTTGAAAACACCAGCAGGTACTGCCTAGAAAAAAATGTGATTTTTAAACATGAACTTTTTGTGGCGAGATTGCGCTGAAACTTAGAATTGAAATTTACGTGTCAATAAACGGACTTTAACAAAAATAAATTTGTGCTTCAACTAAAAATCGTGTTTTCTACATATAAAAAGCCTTACAATCCATTATAAGTCCCCCGCTGAAAAGACAATGAATTTTTAATTTAATGCAACCATTCGTTCTTTCCAAGTTCAGAGCGCAGCACGACCACGAATTCCCAATTCCCATTTATTGAAAAATTCAAACGCGGAATAATGAAAAATAATTGAACTATCGCTCGTCGCGATGCAATAAAAAATGTAAGATTTACGCTAGCAGAAACGTATAAAAAAATGCTGGACAAGAGCAGACTAGATAAAGCTATGGAAAAATATATGTTCAGACTTGAAATTCCTAGCAGCATATCGAACCCGGTGTAAGTCCAGTAACTATTAAAACTATCGTCAGCCTTGAAAACATCCGGTCAAAGGAACAATTTTAGATTTTCTGTGAACAAGTCACGAAAAGTGCAAGAATCGGCGACAGGCCACATCAGGCCTACTCTTAAAAACCCTTTAACGCCAAATCGGGCTTTCAAGTCGCCTTTCAAAAAGCACGGATTTTCTCTAAGAATTTCACGTTTTCTTTCATTTTTTCGAAAAATTTGCACGAGCAAATAAAGTCTTAAATTTATTTCTCACATATGTGTACCAAGTTTCAAAGTTATCTGTCTGTAAATAACCGAAAAGAAATTTCCAATTTCCAATGTCAATTTCCAATTTCTTGTGGAAATTTTATTTCGGTTATTTACAGACGGATCACTTTGAAACTTGGTACAATATGTGAAAAATAAATTTAAGAATTTTTTCTTTGTGTGAATTTTTCGGAAAAAATGAAAGAAAACGTGAAATTCTTAGAAAACAGCCTATAGGGGGGTACTGTAAAAATCCTAGGATTTTTACAGTACTGTACAGGGAGGTACTGTAAAATCCTAGGAGGTAACTAAAGATCAGCGTCTTCAGACGGTCAGACCGTCTATATATGTGCCCGGCCGGTAATTTTCGCCTATCTTAATTAAATGTGAAAGAACTCCCCCACCCTAACCCTTTCGCAATCTGTCGTCAAGGCATAAATCAACGTAAAGAGATGATTTTGGTACCGTTGGATAGGTCAGAATGTCAGCTTTACGGTGAGACTAAAAACCGGAAAAGTGAAATTTGCTATTTCTTGACCCAGAAAATCAGACAGTAAAGGGTATTAAGCGCCGACATCAACATGTTATGTTAATTTATAATTTCCTATCGAACCAGACGATAGAGGATAAATTAAGAATTCGGTCGAAATTTGTTGCAGAGGGGAAATTTAAGCAACATGAATCTTCTATGAATCTAACGGAATTTTTTAGTATAGAGTATAGACTATAGAACCTTTCAAAATTATTTGTGGCCGCTCCTGGCTTTTTTCTTAGTTGATTTGGCTTTTTTTTTCTCCTGAAACCATCTGGTTCTGGCTTCTTCTGGGCTTCTGGCCAGCGTTGCCAGATGGTATATTTTTATACCAAATTTCACAAATTGGTATTTCCAGAAGATGTCTGGTATGAATATCCTAGATCTGGTATATTTGCCTAAATCTGGTATTTTCTGGCTTGCTGCGAATTTACTGCATCAAGTTCCACCTCGGAAGTTTGAACTTCCTCGTTCCTCCAGCGTAGGCGACTAGGCGTGGATTATATGGATTACCTTCAGAGCGGCGCGACTAGAGCTTACAAGTCATTTTTGGACCCGCAAGTTTACCGCTTGATGAAATAACCTCAATCTAATTGTTAACATTTAACAACAGTGTTTAGTACGATATAAGGACGAAAGTGATGATCCTTGATTGATTACTGATCAGTGATGGTATGGCCTAGGACGAGTAAGGTTGTCGAACCGATCTTTGCGACGCAAGCTCCACCATTTTTGTTTGGCGGTTTCGAATNCTAGTCTGGAAAAGTCCTATTTTTGTCTGAAATATCGCGGCTCTAATATCATATAATTTCAGTAGGTATGAAATCTCGCGGCTCGAATGTCATAAATTTTTGTTTGATTAAAAAATCGCGGTTTGCACTTTGCAAACATGTCATTTCATAAAATTTTCAACTTCTGCATGGCGCAATCCGCATTGCTTTACCCGTTTACCGTTCCCACCAAAAATATCTTGCAGAAAAAACATAAACATTGTAATGTAAACAGATCAACGAAACGTTTTGTTGAAGATCGCGCATAGTTGCGGTCATGTCAAAGCGGTCAGACTCACAGACTGCATTAATGTGTGCTGAACTTACAGTAGACACAAATTTTATTGTCGCCGTTTGACTGTTTAAGGGTAAAGTTAGAGATTTGGGGTAACATGTGCATGGACTTCGTAAATAAATTTGCACCTCGTAAATGGCTTTTCATGGCCAAGATATGGAACTCACGGTTCGGTGAAATCGAATCACGGCTGGCAAATCCATAAAACCACGGCTCGAAAAATTCAGTCGCGGCTCGCCAAGTAGATATATTCCATACTAGATAACAGGGGTGAACCAGTGGCTAGCCTCAGACAGGGACAGGCTAGGTACATTGTTTTTAAAATTTCTGATTTCTGGGTGGTCAAATGAGGAGGCAAAGCACGGTGCACAATTTGGGAATTTTGGTTGAAATTTGTCCACTGCAATACTTAGCTTAAGACCTTAAGGTTAAGTTAGCTACTAAGGGCAGGTCAGGAAAAGTCTTACCTTTTTTTCTGAAATATCACGGCTCTAATATCATCATTATTGTGTATTTTTGTTTGATTGAAAAAAATCATGGTTTGCACTTTGACTTTGCAAACATGATGTTTCATAAAATTTTCTATTTCCAAAGTCCACATAACTTCAACGCTCCTGCCAAAATATCCTACAAAACTTGATAACAACAACTGCAGGATTGGAATTTTCCTACTTGTTTCTGAAATCTTGGGAAATCTGTTACATTTGGAATCTTGTGGCCTGATCATGCACTTCTGTCAACAATTAGATAGGAAGTAATTCATCTTTGGGAAATCTTGCAGTTCCAGAAATGGCAGATTTGCAGGAAAGCTCTAGTCGCAGCCCTAATGGTAGAAATTTTCCATGCTTGATGCTTGACAACGAGTAACCCAAAACATTTCCTTGAAGATCTCATAGTTGCGGTCACATCAGAGCGCGGACTTGCCGCCGAGAGCAGTGAGTGAATGAGACACTGAGACTGCATTTTCACATGTTCATGCTTCAGTTGACACCAGGGTGGAATTCTAGAAATGGAAGTTCACTTATAAAAAAGCTTTCCACCCAAGGTGGAATGCTTTACTTAGATACAGTGCTGTGCCAGGTGACTGACTATAAATGAAAAGGAGGATCAAAAGTGGACAAACTGTTTCAATTGTACAGTACCTCAGATTTACCCCTGAATTCCCTGCTGAACTGATCATCAAATACCTCCAAGCCACCAACATGCTCAACAACATTTAATGCACCCTGAAGAATGCGGATTGGGGGCGCCAATACTCAAGACGGTGACGCGCCTCATCTTAACCAAGTAACCAAGTAAGTAACTGTTGTGTTGCAGTTGTGGCTGCCGGCGGCCCGGCTGGTGACACCGTGACAGCCTGGTGTCAACCTGTCAAGACTCAAAGTCACTGTCAAGTTGGCCAAATTAAAATTGAATTGATTCCAAAGAATCTGTTGTTTATTACTTAGTTACTAGCCTAATGACCCTAATCTTAATCTATGGCGGCAATGGCCCTGCCCCCAGCCAGGGTGCAGAAAAAAGGCAAATACCTATCTGAAGACATTTAAGAAAATTTAGCTAGGCCTATGCCTTCAGTAGATCTTGCTGACACATTTGGAATGAAATTATTGCATTTTAGATATTTACAAATCTTCAGCAATGCTAATTGCTAACTGCATAACAGGGGTGAACCAGTGGCTACATTGTTTTTAAAATTTCCGATTTCTGGTTGGTCGAATGAGGAGGCAAAGCACAATTTGGGAATTTTGGTTGAAATTTGTCCACTGCAGTATGAATAAGGTACTTAGCTACTAAGGGCAGGTCAGGACACTCAGGAAAAGTCTTACTTTTTTCTGAAATATCACAGCTCTAATATCATGTATTTTTCTTTGATTGAAAAAATCATGGTTTGCACTTTGCAAACATGATGTTTCATAAAATTTTCTATTTTCAAAATCCACATAACTTCAACGCTCCTGCCAAAATATCCTACAGAACTCGATAACAACAACTGCAGGATTGGAAATTTCCTACTTGTTTCTGAATTCTGAAATCTTGGGAAATCTGTTACATTTGGAATCTTATGGCCTGATCATGCACTTCTGTCAACAATTAGATAGGAAGTAATTCATCTTTCAGAAATCTTGCAGTTCCAGAAATGGCAGATTTGCAGGAAAGCTCTAGTCGCAGACTCGCAGCCCTAAGGCTAATGGTAGAAAATTTCCATGCTTGATGCTTGACAACAAGTAACCCAAAACATTTCCTTGAAGATCTTGTAGTCATAGTGGCAAACCAGTGATTTTTTAGATTCAGTTCATTTATAATTTCCTTATTTACTCAATATTTTA